AACGTCCATATCCAGATCGTGCGGCTGATATCAGATGGTGCATGCTGCAAGCGAGACTATAAAAATAGATTCGGTAAGGAACCCCATGAGCTATACGTGACGGCGACACGGCGAGGTGCAGAGCTGCCGGCTAGTGACATGCGGGCCCAGGGCCCCGAGCGCGGCCGCATTGGATCCCGGCCAGCGGAACCACGCTGTTCAGTGGGGGCCCCCGCGCCCACGCATCACTGGGTGACTTGGGGCTCGGATCCCGTGCGCGCGGCGAGCCTTGTGGCCATCTCGCGTGCGCGTCCACCGTGCTCGGCCACCCCGACGCCGTCGTCATCAACTCACGCAGCGCCGGCCGGAAAGCGGCGCGACGGACGTTCCCATTATTTACAACCGTGCATGCGTCGGAGGCCGGCCACGCGTCGCGAAACCGGGGCAGCACACGTGGCCTCGGCCGGACGGCTACGTCGGTGATATCGTTGATTTCTCCGTTTTTGCCACATTGATGAAGCGCCCTCACGCACCGGCACCGAGCAGGTCGCACGCTCGTCCCGCTGCCGTCCACATTGATAACGCATCCGTCCAGTCCAACGACTGCTACCGCCGGGGCCGGGACCGAAGGGGCATCTGGCCGGGTGCAGCGGCCGACAAGTGTACCGCGCAAGTGCTTTTCGCACGGGAGAACGCACGGGATTTGGGTGGTAACTGCTGGATCGGGCCAATCCGCGGTCGGTCCGCGTGCAAATCCCCGGGGTAGCTGCGTTCAACTGGGGATCCTCGTATCTGAGACGCAGGCAAAGTACAGCGTTTTCGCGTTGGTCAGGATACAGACTCGACGCATGTTTTTGTCAGTAGTGTACTACCTTGCTGTGTTCTCTGACAGAAATTCTTCGACCCTTTACCAGAAGGCTGTGAGCGAAAAAGAAAGAACGTACGAATAGTGTTACTCCATCCCTCTTATTAAAATATAACAATACGGGAACACACATCTTATCTTATTCAGATTTATAATATTGGATAATTCTAATTTGATCCTAGATTGTTATATTTTAGAACGAAGATATGAGGTTATTTAAGGCTTAAAGAACATCCTTATTAAATGGTGTATTGTCGGATGTGGAAGGGCAATTGGATAAAATAAATAAAAATTAAATAAAACGTGATTAAAATGATAAGTAATAGTTTAGAGAGATAAATACTTTAGAATAAAATTTGAACTAAGAAAACAAACTATTATAGAATGGAGATAGTAATAATGGAACAGTTGGAAGAGTTAAGCAGCAAGTTGACGGTTTAAGACTACTGTTTGGTTTGCTTCGATTCCATCTTGATCATATCATATTATACACCATCTGCTACTTGCTCGTTTCCTAGGCAGATTATACAAGTGGGACTAGAGTTGGTCCATTAAAATAGGTCCAGAACTAATTCATCTCTTTATAAAATTAGAGCCTTGTGCAACTGTCCAAGCTGTATTCGGACAATCATTTAACGGACAAATGGACAAGAACACAAGATGCTTTGCTGGTGAGTGCTGCCACAGCTATGCCTGTCAATTATTGGCAACATCCAGAACCAAATAGGGGAACGCGTGACATACGGTTGAATCTTGCTTAAGTAATCAGTATCCCCTTGTTATGTCATCGGCACGTACGTCTAGAATCAGTCAGGTCTACCCATCACAGGATCCTCATATCATACCAGCTAACAACAACCAAATCTTGTGAATTAGTCTGTCAAATTACTCCTACTACAGAAGTGAGGCAGATAAACAGAAAGGATGATGTATATGCAGATAAATTTTTCTTCCGCTTAAATCCTACTTACACTCTACTACTGAACCCTTGAACAGACAAGCCAAGCAACTTGTGCAAGGCAGTTTTTAAAAATCGTCTACCCACATCATCGCGGGTCCCACGACGTGTTGGATGCATTGCGGCCTTGCGAGATATCGAGCTAGAAAGCGACGGATGTCGGCAAGCCACCAGTTCCATCCATTTCATCTGCAATTTCACTGCACAAATCACAAATGCATACATACATGCATACATACGTTGTAAGAGTTTCAACCACAAGCCTGACATTTGGATTTAGGCTCTAGTTCATGCATCCAAATCCATGTCAATCTCACCTATATTTGGTTTTTGGCCTTTAAAAGCCGTTTTGGAGTCAAGGGAGGGTTGTTTTCAGCCTCGTACCAGATGGACCAACCTGCTCTGGTACCTTCTGGAGATTTTCCTCCCTGTTTATCAATTGTGCCATCGTTTTTGTGACTGGCCAATCTTTGGAAGATTTGTGTATTTTTCCAATGTGGGGGCTAAGCTGTATTTGTGCCTTCCTTTTCCTTGATTAAGATGTCTACATTCTTTATCTTCAGGCAAGGTTTAATTAGAAATGGAGCTATGATCTGGATACTACTCTTAATACGTTATGAGCACTATCATCAGGATTTGCGCTATTGCTGGTTCCAGCTATCTGAATTTGTGCGTTGCTGGAGATTCTGCCAACGGGGACGCATTATATGAACATAACCTTATAGTTGCATGATGGAATGTACGGATCATGAATTCTGAGATATGTATAAACCTGTAAAGCAGGCATGTTGCTTCAGGTTTTCTTAATGAAAAATTCATATGTGTGTAATGATTTAGGTTCCACGATATCTCCACCAGCAACCTGGACATACAAGGATGCAACAATGCATCAAATGTCTATTTCGAAAAGGCAAACGTATCAACGGATACGATACTTGTTCTTATTACAGCACAATGCTTTTCCAGGTTAATATTTAATGTCAGCCGGCCAGAGTATTCAGAGTATTCGGTTTAATTCAAAAAAAAAAAAGAGTATTCAGGTTCGCTTTGCCGTGTGAACAGAGCTTAATATGCGGCTGGAAAACAATTGGTTTACTCTCACGATTCTGCGACAGGTTAATCAGTTAACGTAATTAGGTGCAGAGTCTCTGCTCTGCTTTATTTTCCCTTCACAGGATTTAGGATAAGATTGTTGCAGTCAAAAAGTATCAGGATCTTGTTCACGGTTTTCATGTCCGGTCGTAATCGCGGAAGTTCTCCATGTGGGTAAAATTTTCACAGTTTCATCTGTTGTAGATGATGGTGTTCAGTAAACGAAAGGTGCCTGAAAAGTTATTTATTGGTAGTTATCATACAGGAGATTTTTTATTGCAGATCGTGCAAGGTTTTCTTCAGCGAGTATCTGAGCTTGCATCACTCAGTGGTGGAACCTCACAAATCACAGCACGCACCGGTTCACGCAAATAAAAGGGAGGATATTAGGTGTCTCAAGTGGTCTAAAGCAGAAGAGGAAAAGATGCGCCATGAAAATTCTTTCATGAGTGCAAAACCAAAGCACAAGTGCATTATAGGATGCTTTATTTGTTGGTTCATCTATACTGGGTGCACCTAAAAAACTACTAATAAACGTAAAATATGAGACAAACGGGGACATGATTCTCTGAAAGTGGCAATTGTTCAAGAACTGTGGAACTGATTTAACCTCATCAAATGGAGATTACATCCTAGTGGTAAGAGCACGCTAGGAAAAAAAACATGGATCTACAAGCAGCTAATTAAATTTGGATGGTTACATATGATTATATATTTTTTGAACAGATACATGATTCTAAAATAACTGATTAGGTACTTAGAGGCTAATCTGCAACAGCACTAAGCTGTGCCATGATCTGCTTCGTTTGGTTATCTAACCAGCTTTACTTTGGGAGCCTATAGAAGTACCATATGGACTAGCATCAGTACTCAAATGACTAGTATTTGTCTCCGTCACTAGGTGGCAAGTGTTTTCATGTCTCGTTTGCAGGCCCCAAAGCTTCCTTTTCTTCTCGCTGTTGCTTTAATTAAATAATAAGAAAATCAAACAAATAATCACAGCACCATGATTGTAGATTCGGGTTTATCACAAAAATGGGACAAGTGCTATGTGCTTTACTGTTAGAAGTATAAGTCGTGTCCCTACACGAAATATTTCATGATCTTTTCGCTATGAACTGATAATGAATTAGTCCCATCATTTTGCCGTAAAACAATTATATATGTCTTCTGAGCGGTGTAAAAGCTGATGATGAAAAATAAACTACGATAAAAACACATGAAAAAAACTCTACAATTAAAAATTAAAATTTAAAATTTGCATGTGGCTGATAAGCTAAAGTGCAAATGATGAAGCTCATGATCCCTTAAAGAATCAATGTCCAAGGATTAGTGTGAGTGATGTTGGATTGTTGGGTGATCCCAAGGGGCATTTTGTGTTTGTTGAATTTTCTGAGCTCACAAACATTTGCTTTCATCTCCAGCTTTTCTTTCTGTCAGAGAAGGAACAAAGCCTCCTTACCATTTTAGTTATGTGACGCTTTACAGGTTAGCGTTGCTAAATAAAAACGCACCTTCGTGAAATTGTGCTTAGAGATAATCTCCACTAAACAAGCAATGGTACTTTTCTTTCTTCCGCCGATATGCTCATTCGCTTCATCCCTTTTGATTTGATTTCTTCTACAATGTATCTGGGTCTGGTAATTGCATGCTCACCATGCTGCGATGGCGAAGTTGTGTTTATCTCCGTATCCACCTAGATCCTGTCAAACCCAAGTACAGCTGTTTGATTGTTGTTTTAGACAAGGAAATTATAACAGCTATACGAGAGAGTAAAAAAAACCAAGAACAATTAAAGAGCATTTTTTTCCTTTTTGGGGGAAAAAGGCAAAAGGTACTTCTGCGGTTCTGCCTGGCTCTTATTTGTTCTCGCGTTAATTATTGGGCTGAGCCCAACATATCAACAATGGACTAGCTATAGTCCAGCCCAGATGATTTTACGATGTTTTGGGCTATTGGGCTATTGACCAATCTTCCCAAATCCGGAACCTAATCCAGGCCCAGGATAAATTTCTCTCTCCTTCTGCTAGTCTTGCAAAAATTACGTTTTTCTCGGAGACAGAATCGCACGACAATATTTGAGTGTGACATGCAGGTAAACCATTATTGGATTCGGTAACTATGTGCATTCACTGTAGTAAACGTAAATTACCTGGATAGTGTTGAATTATCGCACAGTATCGTCCACCGAATACAAACAAATCGGTATATGAATTCTGCTGTTACACCTTTGATTTCGTGGTATTAATGATCACTTCCAGCAACCGCGAAACATAGCTAGTTGACCGGAATTGGAGCATAGCCCTCGGGTTCCTCGACGTGAGCCGGCGCGACGGCGGCCACGACGACGGCGGCGCCGAACAGCGCGACGACCAGCCCCGTGAAGTTCACCAGGAACGCCTCCGCGCCGTACTTGTCGAGGCCGGAGCTCTGGAGGAAGGTCAGCTTCTCCAGGAGCCCGAGCTCCGCCGTCGCCAGCGTCAGGACGTAGACGAACAGCCCGAACAGCACGTGCCACGGCAGCGCCCCGCGCCTCACGTGCGGCGCCGCGCCGGGGTAGAAGAACGCCACGAATCCAAATATCCACTGCAATGCGCAGCAAAAACGATGCATTTGCTGTAACGGAGAGGGGGAGAAAAAATTGGTTACAAATCCAGTTTGATTTGGTGCCGTTTTGTCACCTGAATGCCGTACAGCGAGATTGTTCCGATGCCGAGCCAGGAATGCAGGCTGTAGAGGTTGGCGATCCCGCTCTCGTTGTGGAACTTGAAGGCGCAGTAGATCCCGACGGCGCCAAGAACAATGGCGATCGCGTGGAGAATCAGGTGGATCAGCTTGGTTGTGTCGTGGTTCAGTTTTGGGAATATCTTGTAGATCATTATGGCTGCAGAAGCCCAGAATGAATTGATGAGAGACTTAATTAACTGATAATTTTTATTCTTCACATAAATCATAGGCAAATTTTGATCAGGATTATGTCATCCTTACCTTCACTGCCGAGGATAATGTACCCAATCAGCATAAGAACAGGGTGAACCTGAGTATGCACCACAGCAGAACCCAAGTTAACATAACTGAGGAATCTTGACATAACTACATGAGTATGTTAGTACCACTTTCGACCATAATAAAATCAACAGCTAAACAAGGGGACACGGACACCTGTGACCATAATAAAATCAACAGCTAAACAAGGGGACACGGACACCTGTCTAGATTTATGCGGCCTTCATGTACAAGAGATCACATGCTCTAGATAAATTACAGCACGTTTTTTTTAATCTGATTACATATATAATTTGGGGAAAATCTAAAACACAAATGTTTATTAGTCTTTTTATCAAAGGTTTGGTATGAATGAATGATGATTGGTTGAAGGTGTTTTCTCTAATATTTGTTTCTATGCTTTATCCTTTCAGAATTGCACAAATTGCAGTGGGAAAATCAGATGCACCAATTAGTCAATAACTCGATGTACTTGATAAAGTTTGCAGACCATATATTCGTCTAACTTGTTACAGTATCTAGTAACAATGGACTCATAGAGCATGATAGTAATAGCCGCATACTGCAATCAAAAGCGAAATAACCAGCTAAATTGAGTAGTTATAGTCGCCTCAAAGGAGCACTTGAATTACTCAACTTACTAGCAGAGAGTTCATGTTTGACGAGTATGGTAGTACTAATTCATCAGATCAAGATCATCCTGTAACGCTGAAACCGACCAGCCAAAACGTAAATATCGAATCTTCAAGATGAAGCTTTTCAAAATTCAAATGCCCCTGTTTTCTTGGACACCAATTCTACCGCTAAGTCGCTAGCCACTCTACATCCCTCGGTTAGGTGTGAAACATACACACAGAAATGTCCAATAACTGCCTTTGCTCACAAAAGCAGCCGCACTGATGTGACTTGCAACGAACGAAGCACAAAGCGCAACGAAAGCGGATGCAAGCGAATCAATCCGAAGATTACTCGCCTAGCTACCCGGTAGGCGGTAGCAACTAGCAACAGGTGAAAAAAAAAAAGGTGAAAGAGATGCTAAAGGGGGAAAAAATGAAATCGAACGACGCCTTACGTTGAAGATGAGGTTCTTGTTGTCCGCCTCGAACGCGAGGCCGCCCCGGAAGCTGATGCACCAGACGAGCACCATGACCGCCGCCGCCACGGCCAGCGCGTGCGCCACGTACGTGAACGGCGCCGCCTTCACGCCCAGCCCGGCAGCCATCTCGCTTCGCTCTTGCTACGATCTCTCCTCCTTCCTTCCTCCTCCCTCTTATGCGCGCGGGGCGGCGAGCGGCCGGGCACACGAAGGTCGCAGCGTCGCGCTATCTGCTACAGGCAGCTCGAGCTGCTACGAGTGGAGGGAGAGCGAGAAGCGTTGTGGCGTGGCGTACGCGTAGTCGCGTACCAAGGTCTCCCGCGAACTGTCCCTTTATTGGAGACGGATGGAGGGAAGCAGGAGAGGAAGCAGAGTTTACTACTCTGTTTTGTTGTTGGTTTGGTTGGTTTAGAGCTTTAATATATATAGTAATTAATTAAAAGAAATTAAGAAGGTGGGTAAAATGAGGTTATCTATTAATATATAATTAATTAAGTATTGATTATTTTAAATTTTAAAAATACATTAATATGATTTTTTTTAAATAATATTTCTATAAAAAGTTTTTATAAGAAGTACTCAATCCCTCCAAAAAAAAACCAACTTAGTACTACTAGGATTTGTCACAGTAAATCTAGACATACACTATGTTCAGATTCGTTGTACTAAGATGTGTGTCGATTGGTTTTTTTTTATGGAGGGAGTATATCGTTTAGCGATTTGAGAATTGTGCATATTGGCTCTTTTTTATATTTACGCTGCTCTCAAACACAGAGAGGGCTGATAAGGCCGGAAAGATGTCCATGTTCATCGACATATCTGGAGAGCCAGGAGAGGTGGATGGGGTTTGACTAATTGACTGGAAGGTTACCATGCGTACTCACGTCTAACGACCTCCTTACCGTGAACTCCCCAACAAACGGAATCGTTGCGATTTGCGACGAGCTTTGTCTGATCCTTAGCTGATTCCTCTTCGAGATTTTAGCCGGGGGAGTGGGGAATTTGACATGGTCCTTGTCTGAGCATCTTCTCTCCGAGTTGTTATGTGGAGACACCGGATGCAAAATCCGGCGATATGAATTTGACATGGTCCTGCGCGGCCCGCCATGACAGGGAGAGGGGTAGCTGCGGGGCTGCGGGCCTTGGCCTGGGCGACGCAGTGACATGTCCACTTTTTCCGTCGCCGTGCCGTGACCCGTGATCATGGGGCGTGGCCTCCGCGCGCCACACGATGCCGACGCCGACGCAGATGACCGTGAGATGGCGGGCAGACGGACGCGCGCGTGCGCGCTTGCCGCTTGGAACTGAGAAGTGAGAACGAAAGGCGCATGCTCTGGATTGCAACGGCAGGTGACCTATCACTACACAAAACCGACCAACCATACGATGTGGCCGGGCCCCGACAGTTACCACGTAGGAATAAGTTCACCGAATGTCCCTCAACTTAACAACGAGATTTTTGAGATCCTTTAGCTACAAAATCAGAAATGTGTACCCTTAAACTTATGCAAGCCGTGCACTCAAGGTCCTATGACAATATATATGGGTGGTTTCGCTGACGTGACATCCTAGTTAGAAAAAAAAAACATGGGGCCCACATGTCAGCTGTCCTCTCCTCTTTTCTTCCCAAGCCGATGGCGATGGCAATGGCGCACGTGCTGGTGTTCCCCGCCCCGGCGCAGGGCCGTCTCGGCGCCTCAGCCGGTGGTGGGGCGCCTCAGCCACCGCGGCTCCGTTTCCTCTCCATGCTCGACGGCCTCCCCGACGTCGACCAGCTCCTCATCGACGGCCTCCTGTAGCTCATGGATGGCCTGCGGACCACCGGCAGCGCCGCGTACCACGTACCTTCATGCGGCGGCGAGACCTCCCCATCTAGTGCCGCCACCTCACCACGACGACGACCAACGACGAGCCCTTGTTGACATCTGTGGCCGCCGCTACCGCGCACAGGCGCAAGGCGAGGGCGTTCCTCCTCAACATGACCATCTCCATGGAGCACCAAGCTTTGACACGCCTCGCGCGGCACATGCACGACTTGTTCGCCATCGGACCACTCCACCGCCAATCTTGGAGATGTGGTCCGCTGCTCGGACCTCTACTCGCGGCGGCCGTAGAGGGGAGGAACTGCCAGGAGCGAGAGGCGTACGGAGGGCACGACGACGACGACGACGAAGACATGGGCGGCACACCTCGGGGGCGAATGGATCAGTGGCGAGAGAGCGAGATGGCAGCTGTGCAGCGGATGGACGAGGCCGTGCAGCTGGGGCAGCCACGCCCCTGTCCACGCCGCCCGCAGGCGACCACCCATCTCCCTGCGCCCCGTCGGAGAGGGGGAGAGGAGGCCAGGTGGAGTGGGGGGAGATAAGGCCGGCGGGAGGGGGGAAAGAGGCGGCGCCTCGCCGCCGCTTGCCCGCCGCATCCCCCCGCCCCTCTACTCCACCCACGCCTGGAGCCGTTGCTCCGCCTGCTCTGGCTGCGCGCTGACACCGCCCCTCTGCCTGCTCCGGCCGCGCATCGCCGCCGGCTGCCGCTTTCCGCAGCCGATGCTCCGCAGCCGCGGTCGCCCGCCGACGCCGATGCCGCCGCTCCCCCTCCCTCTGCGGCAGAGAATAAGAGAAAAGGAAAAGAGAGAAGATTGCTGACTAGCATGGTTTACCCCATATTTTTTTCTCGCTTACATGTGGGTCCCACATATTTATTATTTTACTTTTTTGCTGACTAGGATGCGACATCAATAAAACTGGACAAAAACTGAGTCGATACTGCCGTGGGATCTCCTTTGAACGGTTTGAGTGAGTTTAGGGGTACACATTTCTGATCTTGTGGTTAAGGGAAAAAAAATCTCGCTGTTAAGTTGAGGGATCACCGGTGAACTTATTCCTTACCACCTATTATGGCTCGGCCTCTTCTGAACCCGACATATTAGGCCTTTTTCAGCCCATCTTATATGGGCCTATGCTGTGACTCTCGGTGCATATCCATACGCCTTTCGTCTATAAATACAGGGGGGAGGCACCAATCGCCCTGTTTATTCTTGACAGCCTTTGAGAATCGTTTGCTCCGGAGCGCTCCGGTTTTCGCGTTGCTTTGCAACTTCTTGACACGTTAATTGACCACCCACCGGCGGCGAGCATGGATTACTGCTTGCAAGTGGCCTGGATCGCCGGCACGAAGGCGATCACGGAGCAGTCCAATTTCATGTTCTCGCCCTTGGGCCTCCGCGCCGGGCTCGCGCTGCTCGCCACGGGCACTGACGGCGAGACGCTGCGCCAGCTGCTGGCCTTCCTGGGCTCCCAGCACATCCACCAGCTCAATGCGGCGAGTGCCGGGCTCCTCGCCGAGATGCGGGCGTGGCCGCAACTCTCCTTCGCCGCGGGAATCTTTGTGGACCGCTCGCTCCGCCTCAGGCCGGAGTTCCAGTCCACCGCTGCCGCCGCTCACGGGGCATTCCCACGATCCGTGGACTTCCAAAACCAGGTTATAAGTAGTACCAAAAACTTACTAATACTAAAAAATTACAAATTTACAGTTCTTGTGAAGATACCGAAAGATACTATATTATTAAATTTACACTCAACGCTAACTAATACGTGCAAAAATAACGTGACATAGAGTTAAGTAGTTGAACTAACAATTTTGCCTGGATCAGGCTAACGCTGCGGCGGCGGAGGTGAACCGTTTCATCTCGCAGGCCACGAACGGGCGCTTGAACAACACCATCTCCCCTGGCACATTCGGGAGCAGCACAAAGTGCGTCCTTGCCAACGCCATGCACTTCAAGGCGACGTGGGGTCGGAAGTTCGAGTCGTACGACACCCAGCGCCGCAGGTTCCACCGCCAGGACGGCACGAGGGTGACGGTGCCGTTCCTGTCGGACCCCAGGACGCACTACGCCGCCAGGTTCGACGGCCTCGGGTTCAAGGTCCTCCAGCTCTTCTACAAGATGGTGGGACACGACGGCCAGGTCCACTTCGGGGCGCCCTGCTTCTGCATGCTCGTGTTCCTCCCGATCAAGCGCGACGGCCTCCGCCACCTCCTGCGCATGGCCGTCACCGAGCCGGACTTCGTCATGCGGTGCGTGCCCCGGAGCGAGCAGGAAGTCTCCCCGTGCATGGTCCCTAAGTTCAAGTTCTCCTCCGAGCTCGACGCCCGCGGTGCGCTGGCAAAGCTCGGGCTGGGCGCGCCGTTCGATCCTCTCGCCGCCGACCTGTCCAGGATGGCTGTGAGTGTGAACACGCCGCCGGAGAGGCTCTATGTGTCGGCAATGAGGCAGAAGTGCGCCGTGGAGGTCGACGAGGAGGGCACGACGGCGGTGGAGGCGACGTACTCGTGTTGCAGCCCGACCTATAGCGGACCGGAGTCTCCCAAGCCGCGGCCAATGAGCTTCGTGGCAGAGCACCCGTTCATGTTCGCCATCGTGGAGTATGAGAAGGCCCAGGTCTTGTTCCTCGGGCACGTCATGGACCCTTCAAATGAGGAATGACTTGGTTAATGCGATTAATTAGTTGTAGGATATGCCGATTAATGGATGGTTTCAATTTACTAATACTAACTGTCTAGTATGTCAAAATGCCCAGTGATGCGTTGGGGCCTGCTGCCTCAGTTGAACTTTAAGCCTTGAGGTGCATCGCGCATTCAAGTAGGAGTAGTACGTCAATCGAATTTGGATTTGTATGTTTATACAATATCTTATATTATTATGGTCTATTTTATTAAATTTATAAAATTTTTATATAACTATTTAAATTACATGCATACACCTAGATGCTATAGTATCTAGGTGTAGAAAATACTTTTCCGGAGTGGTATCAATTGTTAGCATCGAGGGAGTGAGAGATTGAGAGAATTGTGGGAATGAGATCCTTCTATTGATCAAATGAATGATTACATCCATTTATGGTACCAGATTGGGTGTGAACTTGGATGAATGCCACCCATTCCGTATATGCATTTAAGTAGCTAGTGCAAGCATTTGTTGAATTTTAGGTGGAATGCCTTTCAAAATGATGAGCTTGTATATTATATATCAAACAAATAGGATGAGAGTGGATTTTAAACTCTCCAGTAGGCGTCCCCTCATTATTTATATATCAAACAAATAGTTATAAAAAATTGAGAAGATATATTAACATGTAGCATATCGCTTCACAAACATATATTCTACAAGTCACGACAAAAAGAACAAATTAAACTACAACCACTAAAAAAACATTTTTTTTATGATGACCTCTTTAGATTGCAAACGAACCGTATTTGATCGTGTCTGCAAAAATCAACATTTATTTTTGCATACGTCTCTTTACATGGCTCGCACGCAAAAATGCGACTATTTTGGTAGGCTTGCCTCTTAAGTGACCCGCACACAAAAATATTCACTCTCCTTCACATATTTTTCCCCTTCTCTCTCTTTTCTCTCTCACTCCATTTTTTTCACCTCCTCTCTCTCTTCCTTTCTCTTTTATTTTCACTCATTTCTTCTCTATCTTTCTCTCCTCTCCTCTCCTCTGAGCGGGTGGCGCGCAGCAGGTGGTCAGCTTGGTGGCACTGCCGCCTCGGCGATGGGCGGTGGCGCGGCGGCCAAGAGCGGGCGGGCGGGCGGCAGCTCGGCACGTCTTCAATCGGGCGGCGGCCAGAACATAGATCATTCTTAGGCCCTGTTTAGTTCCCAAACAAAAACTTTTCACCCTGTTACATCGAATGTTTGGACACATGTATGAAGTATTAAATATAGACAAAAAAAACCAATTACACATATCACATGTAAATTGCGAGACGAACCTTTTAAGCCTAATTGCATCATGATTTGACAATGTGGTGCTACAGTAAACATTTGCTAATGACAGATTAATTATACTTAATAAATTTATCTCACAGTTTACAGATGAAACCTGTAACTTGTTTTGTTATTAGACTACGTTTAATACTTTAAATATATGTTCGTATATCTGATGTAACACGCAAAAACTTTTCATCCCTGAAGCCTTTACTCGTCTTTACTCGTCCAGTATGAGATGGGTCGGTCAGGTGATAACTGCTGGGCCTGCTTTTAATATTCCCCCTTTCGAGCCCATGTTTTATGGGCCTAAATTGACTTGTACTCTGATTCAGTTAAGGCGGGGTGCATCTATTCCTTCCGTCTATAAATACTAGGGGAAGGCACCCCATTGCACTTTCTTTCCAAAGCCTCTCAGAATCGTTTGCCTCTCGCCTCTCCGCTCCGAAGCGCTCCGGTTTTCAGTTTGCTCTGCAACTGCTCGACGTATTGACCGACCGCCGGTGGCATGGATCAGTGCTTGCAGGTCGCCTGGATCGCCGGCTCGGACGCGATCACGGAGCAGTCCAACTTCATCTTCTCGCCCATGTGCCTCCGCGCGGGGCTCGCGCTGCTCGCCACGGGCGCGGACGGCGAGACGCTGCGCCAGATGCTGGCCTTTCTGGGCTCCGAGCACATCCACCAGCTCAACGCGACGAGTGCCGGGCTCCTCGCCGAGATGCAGGCGTGGCCACAGCTCGTCTTCGCCGCGGGTATCTTCGTGGACCGCTCACTCCGCCTCAGGCCGGAATTCAAGTCCACCGCTGCCGCCGCTCATGGGGGCATTCACGCGATCTGTGGACTTCCGGAACCAGGTAGTAGTAGTACCAATTACCAAACACTTAATTAACACTCAAAGCTAACGACGTATATGGAAAATAATAACTTGACACTTGGCAGAGAGCTGGAACTAACAGTTTTGCATGGATATTCATATCAGGCTGACGCTGTAGCGGCGGAGGTGAACGGTTTCATCTCGCAGACCACGAAGGGGCGCTTAACCAACGTCATCCCCCCTGGCACCTTGAACAGCGACACGATGTGCGTCCTTGCGAACGCCATGCACTTCAAGGCGAAGTGGGCTCGGACGTTCGAGTCGTGGAACACCACGCAGGCAATGTTCCACCGCCTCGACGACACGACGGTGCGGGTGCCGTTCCTGTCGGACCCCGGGATGCACTACGCCGCCAAGGCGCCAAGTTCGAGTTCCACGGCCTGGAGTTCAAGGTCCTCCAGCTCTTCTACAAGATGGTCGGCCGCGACGGCCAGGTCGACTTCGGGTTCGGTGCGCCGTGCTTCTGCATGCTCGTCTTCCTCCCGATCAAGCGCGACGGCCTCCGCCACCTCCTGCGCATGGCCGTCACCGAGCCGGACTTCGTCACGCGGTGCGTGCCCCGGAGCCGGCAGATCGTCACCCCGTGCAAGGTGCCCAAGTTCAAGTTCTCCTCCCAGCTCGACGCCGGGGGCGCGCTGGCACAGCTCGGGCTGGGCGCGCCGTTCGACCCTGACGCCGCCGACCTGTCCAGGATGGCCGTGAACACGCCGCCCGCGGGGCTCTACGTGTCGACCATGAGGCAGAAGTGCGCCGTGGAGGTCGACGAGGAGGGCACGACGGCGGTGGAGGCGATGTACTCGCCTAGCAGCCCGGGCTATAGCCCCGGATACCAACCTCCCAGGCCGCCGCCGATGAGCTTCGTGGCGGAGCACCCGTTCATGTTCGCCATCGTGGAGTATAAGAAGGCCCAGGTCTTGTTCCTCGGGCACGTGATGGACCCATCTAAAGAGGATCAGTAACTTTGTCGATGTGATAATGATCGAATGGCTCTCATGAGCCCATGATTGCTCGTTCTTAGCGCCTTAGTTGAACTTTTAAACCTTGAACTGCATTGTGCAATCAAACTTGTTCAATGTTCCTATTTTGTCGATTAATTCCCTAATCTGAAATGCCTTGTCTCCTGGAAAAGCTATTAACTGGAGTGGGGTTTAGCAACAATGGCATGATGTGCAAGTATTGCAAAGAGGCGTTATTAAGGATCATGAAGTTGAGTTGTTTAATGGGTTAAAAAAAACAGATTTTTGTATTTCCTTTTCCGTTGCTACAACAAATAAATGCACTCCGTCTCAAATTGTACTAATACATCTGCATATTAGTACAGTACATATACTCAAATCACTCAGACCCTGTTTACATCCCACCACAATATTTTTCACCCTGTCACATCGAATGTTTGAACTCCTGCATAAAGTATTAAATATAGGCTAAAAAAACTAATTGTACAGATTACGACTAATTTGCGAGACGAATCTTTTAAGCCTAATTGCTCCATGATTTGACAATATGGTGCTACCGTAAACATTTACTAATGACAGATTAATTAGGCTTAATAAATTTATCTCGTGGTTTACTGACGGATTCTGTAATTAGTTTTTTATTAGTGTCTGAACACACCATATGACACCCTATATAATATCCGATGCGACATGCCAAAACTTTACACCCTTGAATCTAACCCCCTCCTCAATTTATACATAGCCCAAGTGTACACGCCATCAGAAGAACACAGTATATTCATCTGAAGGCCTGAAACTAAAGAAGTCTGATCACTTTTTGTCCCCTTTCTTATCATCCTTCTTCTCTTCTTTGGCGGGCCCAACCGATATGATATCGACCTTCCCGAATTTCTTCAACTTCTTGGCGATCTCGACGGTGTCAACTTCACCTATTACAGTCATCTTTTGATCTTTATGATCGGCGGCTATGGAGTCGATACCTGTTTCAGATTACAAAATCAAGTCAAATTAAGATGGACTCAATTTGATATAAATTTAGCATATATGTTCAACATAAGAACGGAGAAACCGTGATTACTGATTACTTCCAAAGTAGCAACGAGCTATCAAGACATGCAGGCCGAACATATCGACAGAATCTGAAGAGGAGGGCATCAAGTTAGTAGCAGCTTACCATAGATATCTGCAACAGTTTCCATTGCTTTCTGCTTCATTTTCGTATCACTCATAGAAGAAACCTTCAAGATCACCTTCTGCTACCAAGTCAATTGAATTCAGCAATTAGAACACAACCAGGCAAAAACACGAGGCTGATCGGACTATCGGAGGAGTGAAAGATTCGAGCATGTCCGAAACTAACTGGGATCGTACCTGCGGCGCCATCACCAACTGCTCTGAAATTCGAAGAAGAAAGGGGAGAGGAAGAACGCGCGCGCGCGAGAGAGAGAAAGGCTGCTTGGATTTCAGCGTACGTGTAGAATGAGCCAAAAGGGAGAGATATGAGGACAAATATGTAGGCGGTCACCAACCGGTACGGGCTTCTTTCTTCGGGCAGGTTTGAATTCGTGTTGGCTGGGCGATTGAGTCCAAAGTCATTTGGACCGAAAAAGTAGTTCGAAAATAAGTGAACGGGTGGCCGGAAAGAAGAAAACCAGTAGCCTACTGCTAAACACCATTATCGATCAGTCAAAAGCTCCTCGCCCATGCACAACACCATGTCGCCAGAAGGTTCCCATGTCAATCTTGGCGGCTCAGGCTCTCAGCATTTCAGTCGAGTTGCTTACCTATCATCGCGTCGTTTCCTGATATCTCCTGCTATGCAGTTTTGCATACTGCATAATGTATTGCCGTTTATTTTGTTTGGTTGTGCAGTTCATGCTACTTGATTTGATTTCTCCATCATGATCCTAGTGATTTCTCTCCCTCTGTTAGAGTTTGTGTCGAATATATGTACGTAGTCAGTTACAGTTTAGGACTTAGAGTTGTACTAGGTGTAGGACTAGAGTATGAGTCGGACTCTATCCTAGGTTCTCTCATAAATAGAGGGGCGTGCCTGTTGTAACCGCATGGCAACTTAGCATAGCGAGAGGGAACAACTGCCGGCGGCGACCGGCCATGAGTCATTGTAACTCTGATACGCTGTAATATGCTGGATCGGGGAGGAGCGCCCGTAATCAATGCCCCGGAGATGTAGGCCTCAGCTGAACTCCGTTATCAAATATCGTGCATCGGTGTCGTCATCGTGTTTGGATCTTTTCTTCCGCGTTTGGTTTCCGATGTGATTTCGAGGCCGGTTTTATAACAAGTGGTATCAGAGCCTGCGGGAGATCCATGGTAGAGGTACGAGGGAGGTGCTCCACACCGCGACGACTACACAGGGTGTCCAGGACGGACATGGACGCAAGGTGGAGCACGACGGCGATCAACAGAATTTGATCGGTGGAATCGAACACTTCAGGCGGTCGTCTGAACCGTTCGATGGCTGCAATCAACAGGAGATGACTAGACGTGGTGCTCGGGTTGATGGCGGCGGAAGCGATTGGCGATTCAATCGGTGGGTCGGACACTTCGGGCGGGTGGCTCGAACTTTCCAGTGAGCTACTTTCAACAGGGAGCGGCTGGCCAGACGCTCGGGGTTGATTGAAGCTGGAGGCGATCGGCATTCTCGATCGGTGGAATCGAACACTCTGGGCGGGGTGGCCTAGGCCTTTCGATGAGCTGCGTTCGACAGGGAGACGGCTAGACGTAGCACTTGGGTCGTTCGGCGGCTGGGAAGACGACATGCGACTTGTCGGCTTCGGCTCGCGACTAGATTGATGGCGTTTAATCGGAAGTTGGAGCAGGTGGATCCTACAGGCTGTTTTGGAGGTGTTAACGACAAGGTACTGCGTGGAGGATTGCTACCTAGCAGCGTACATGCGATGGATGGCAGAACAGAGAAGTACATGCGATGGATGGCAGAACAGAGAAGCGTCAGTATAGAATCAATACATATTGGCGGCGGAAGTCATTGACAATGTCGGTGGTCGTGCTGTGTGTGTTTGCTCTGGAACCAGGATGTCGTTGAGGTACGTGAAGCTTGGAGGTCAGGGTCGCGGTGGTGTGCACGATTTCGCGTTGAGGCGTGCGGCGTGCCGGCGACGGAGACAGAAGCGATGCTGGTAGTAGCAGGCTCGGTCTGGGTTCATGCAAGACTTGACTTGGTGGAGGTCGTGGTACAGGAGTCGGGCACAGTTCGATTTCAATACACATGGCACGGATGAGATCAACAAGGAGACCATGTCGGGAACGGAAGGGGATTGGACGAGGACTGTATTCGTTTTGGAATCAGAGTCAAGTTTTACCCAAAATAGAAGCAGCAGGGATTCCACGGGATTGCAGAGATTGCAATCGAATCAAACCAACCAAAGCAATGAAGAGATCGGACCCGATTTCTTGGGCGGCGGGGGTTTGGGCGATGAACTGCGAGCGGTAGAAGCACGGCTTGGTGTAGTCGTCGTGTAGGTGCCGGCGAGTTCGACGCGGGCCGGCTCCGGCGAGGAGGCGGCAGGTACCGGCGAAGGGGCGGTGGCGACGCTCCTGTGTCAGGGAGGCAGCTCCCGTGGGCGTCGGCATCCTCACCGGCGGGAAACCCACGGCGGCAGCAACGGCGGTTGCCCTCATCGTCGAAGTCCTGAGGGGAGGCAGCGCAAGGGAGTCCAGCTCCCGTGCGTGGCAGCGCCTTCCAGCGGGCGACAGCGTTGAAGAGAAACCTAGGCGGCGGCAGTAGCAACGGCGGCATTTTTTCTTGGGGATGCGGAGGAGTGGTGAGGTGCGGTGGGCTCTGGTGCTCATGCTCGGCAGAAGGAGTGGCGGCTGGGAAGCGGCGCGCAGGCGCTTGGCGGCGGCGCACTTGGGCCGAGGAGACGTGAGCGAAGAAGCGAGAAGAGGGTCGATCTGGTCCTTCTGTGTTGACTGGGTCTTACCGATAGAAAAACCAGTTGGTTTTTTGGAGAAGGAAAAGACCGGTCGGTCCGCTGGTTAGGCTGTTTATGGATGAGTCTGTTGTGGCTTTGCACGTGACGAGGCTATGGGCTGCATGGAACGTTAATTCATTCGTGCATTGATTTGGTCAGTACAAGATCTGAGGGAAGGACACGTGTGTATGTCAAATACACATGCTTGGATCTTGTGGAGCCATGGAATATGTGAGAAAGCGAAGGAAATTGATGCATGCAGCAAGGCAGTAACATGCTAAGTGTTGGTACGACTCGGTAAAGACAGTCTTCGAGTGGGTGAAAATAATCCCGGGCAACAGCGGGTGAAAATCGTTGAGGGTATCAACGGGCTGTTTGGCAGTACAGGATATATCCAGGATCTACGGGGTTTGCATGATGGGGATATATGGAATCTGCGTCACTGAAGAGAAAGAGCAAACGCTATGGTGGTAATTTCTTCGGGTGATTCAAGGCAACGGTGATTTTCTCAAATTGCCAGGAATTCAGTCTACGGATGCGGAGAAGCGTGGATGTTGGATTTATTAGCTCGGTTCATAAGACGACAAGGAAGAAAGGGTTCTCTTCATGTCTGGTGAGTTTGGTTTGTCTATTTGGTGATGACATCGGTTATCTAGCCATGGATTAGATCAAGTCAAACTTAAGACGGTAGATGGAGGTGAACATGGTCTTCAGGGAGTCTATGATGTGACAGCTAAGAAGAATTCAATTCGCTTGGCAAGACGACTGTGGTGATAGGAGAGAAGGTGGAGCACTGTTGCAGGTGGAGTCAATAGGAAGAAATTGTAAAAATAGCGAAGTCTCTTGTTACGGTGAGCCCGATGGAGGCTTGTCGGGGCGGCTCGGCGTGAGCGGCGAAAAAGGATCAACTCAAGTCCGGGTACACGGAGATTTGAGCAAGTAACAGATTCAGGTTGGCGTGGCATATTCGCCAAGGTGGAGTTTGTTAGAGTTTGTGTCGAATATGTGTATGTAGTTGGTTACAGTTTAGGACTTAGAGTTGTACTAGGTGTAAGACTAGAGTATGAGTCGGACTCTATCCTAGGTTCTCTCATAAATAGAGGGGCGTGCCTGTTGTAACCGTATGGCGACTTAGCATAGCGAGAGGGAGCGGCTGCCGGCGGCGACCGGCCGTGAGTCGTTGTAACTCTGATACGCTGTAATATGTTGGATCGGGGAGGAGCACCCGTAATCAGTGCCCCGGAGATGTAGGCCTCGGCTGAACTCCGTTATCAAATATCGTGCCTCGGTGTCGTCATCGTGTTTGGATCTCCTATGACGTTTTCTTCCGTGTTTGGTTTCCGATGTGATTTCGGGGCCGGTTTTATAACACCCTCCCACGCAAAGTGAGGGACTGAGGGTTGGGTAAATTTGGTGGTCTAATCCTGCCACATGAATATTACGAAATCGGGCCCGCAAAACCTGTGCCAGGCCTCGTTTACAAGCCCAAAACAAACATTAACTTTGTCTCCAGATAAGCCCCAGTTTACACAGGCTAATTCACGATATACTACTGTCCATCAAGTTAAAATAGTCTGATTCCACATGTTCAATGGCGGCATTTTATTCTTGACTGGACGATTATACGTACAGAGGCCATGCAGATTTTGTTTGAAAGTTATTTGGTCAGAACTAGCTGAAGTTTTGGCCGGTTACATGCGCTCTTGAAAGAAGAAGAAGAAAAAAGGGGATCACAGACTCACAGTGACGTGCTCCTGATGCAAATCACCTGGAAATAAAACAGTCGAGATTAGTGGGAACACCCACCTTTCGTCTATGATATCATATCTGGTCTCACTTTAGCAAATGGGATGAAAGGAGCAAAATAGTTAGCTAGTCCACATCACAGGCAAAATATGCGCTACCCCCACAATCCACATCGCGTTCTTGATTTTTTTTCCCCCAATTCCCTTGCGTACACGCCCAAACAAGTCAGGAATAGTAAAGCCGGAGCAGAAAACGCGGGCAGGAAAAGGAGCTAGTATGTGATGACGAGTTCGTCTTCATCGCTTCCGGTGTCGGCTCATCCGTCCGAGGATGGAACAAGGCGTGCCGTCTGATTTGTGATTGAGGGGTGTTTACATGGAGGCAGCGGCGAAGGTTGGTCGGCTCACACGGAGCAGCCTGCAGGCGGCTTCCTGCCCGGCTGTGAACGGCGGCGTGGTCGTCTTCTTCGCCGCGGTTGTCGCCGGAGCTCTCGTCTCCGCTTCCTGGATGTCTACGGGCGCCAGGGTAAGGTGCACTGCCACTAGTAGCTACGTTTAATCTGGCGATTCGTTTCTAGCTCGTGGTTTGGAGTTCATGTTGCTAGTGTAACTAAAGAAAGCAATTCCGTCAGCTGCACTGCACTCTCTGGATCGTAAAAGATGGGAAAATTCGATACATAGCGCGATTGTCCGATAATGAAATTCACCAATTCTGTGCCAGTTTCAGGTCACTTCGATCCCTATGATCGCCACCCGGAACATGGCACAGCATGCGGCAGCGAGTCCGGAACCAGAGCCGACTCTGCCACGCCTCGGCAATCTCGCGCCCCCACCACGGCAACCGCCACCGCCAGCACCTGCCCCGGCGCCGGACGCCGCCGCGGCAGCGTCGCCGTCGTCCTCCTGCCCGGCATACTTCCGGTGGATCCACGAGGACCTGAGGCCGTGGCGGGACGCGGGGATCACGCGCGAGGCGGTGGACGGCGCCGCCCGCCGGTACGGCGCCAAGTTCCGCGTCACCGTGGTCGCGGGGCGCCTCCACGTCGCGCGCTACGGGCGGTGCTTCCAGACGCGGGACATGTTCACGCAGTGGGGCGTCCTGCAGCTGCTCCGCCGCTACCAGGGCCGCGTCCCCGACCTCGACCTCATGTTCGACTGCCAGGACCTGCCGGTCGTCAACGCCGGCGACCGCCGCGGCCGGACATCTTCTTCGCCGCCGCCGCTGTTCGGCTACTGCGGCAGCGAGCCCACGCTGGACATCGCCTTCCCTGACTGGTCGTTCTGGGGTTGGTAAATACACACATTGCATTTGCATCATCATCACGTACTCAATCCATCTACCAGGTGATGAATTAACTGGGTTGTGTTCTCTGTTGCGATTTTGGAAGGCCGGAGCTTAACATAAAGCCATGGGAGACGCTGCGAGGCGAGATAGCCGACGGGAACGCCGCGGTGAACTGGACGGGCAGGGCGCCGTACGCGTACTGGAAAGGGAACCCGACGGTGGGAGCCGATCGCCGGAATCTCCTCAGGTGCAACGCGTCCGGGAAACGTGACTGGAACGCGAGGATATACGAGCAGGTACGCGCGTTACATGGTGCAGATGAACGCACACGCACGCCAAGTCGCCACCTGACACAGTGACACGGGGGATTAGCAATCGTGCAGAGCATGAGACGCGACTGCAATTCTTTTTTTCTTTTCAGGATTGGAGGAAGGAGGTGCGAGACGGGTTCAGGGAATCAGACCTGGCAAAACAGTGCACTCACAGGTAGAAAAAAGGTTACTACTACTCATGTTTTTCTCTGGTCAGTCCAGATGCTACTCCATCCGTCTTTTAAGGGATTTTGAGTTTTTTTATTGTTTGACTAGTCGTCTTATTTAAAAAAAATATATAAATATAAAAAAGTTATGTTTAAAATATTTTGGATAATAAAGTAAGTAAAAATAATAATAATTTTAAGTGTTTTTAAATAAGACGAGTGGTCCAACAATATAAGTAAAATCTTAATATCCGTTATAATTATATTATAGAACGGAGGGAGTACATGAATTCTGTAACAACGGAGCTGCTGGAGCGTGTGTAGGTACAAGATTTATATCGAAGGAAGGGGCTGGTCAGTGAGCGAGAAGTACATCCTGGCCTGCGACGCGGTGGCGCTGATCGTGCGGCCGAGGTACCACGACTTCTTCTCGAGGGGGCTGATGCCGTTGCAGCACTACTGGCCCATCCCCGGCGGCGGCCGCGGCATGTGCCGGTCGATCAAGTTCGCCGTCGACTGGGGCAACGCTCACGCCGACAAGGTACTACCTACCATAAATCCTTCCCACTTCGTCATGAACGTCACACCAGCAGAAAAGCTCTGAACTGAACGCTGGTCGATCTTCAGGCACAGGAAATAGCCGGGAACGCGACCAGGTTCATCCAAGAGGATCTAACGATGGACCGTGTCTACGACTACATGTTTCACCTTCTGACAGAGTACGCTAAGCTGCTCAAGTACAAGCCCACGGTGCCTGACAGAGCCGTCGAGGTCACCGTGGAGTCCATGACGCGCGGCCGGCGGGGACTGGAGAGGCAGTTCATGGTGGACACCATGGTGGAAGCTGGTTCGGGCACCGGAGAGCCCTGCGAGCTGCCGCCGCCTTTCAGCTCTGAAGAACTGGAGACGCTGAGGAGAAGACAGGCGGATGCGGTGAGACAGGTCGAGACGTGGGAGAAGCGATGACAGGTTCACGTGACCAGTGACGAAATGTAATAAGGATGGCAAACCTCTCTGGTGACATCAATACATCACAGATTAATAGCCTCATAGGTTGGGTTTTGTTCGAATAGCAAAATACAGAATTTTGAAAGTAAATACTAAAATTCGTCATTCATAGTCAAAAGGGAGGAATTTTAATTTTTTTTAGCACATGTAGCTTGAAATGAAAATCCGTTAGTGAAATTACTTGGAACACACAAAATCATCATCGTTTATACTTTTCATGTTCATTAATTTACATGCGGTGTGCTACTACTTTGCAATTCATGCTATGGCGAATGGTGGTACTCTGTTAACGGCTTGAGAATTGGGTTTTCACGGCATGTTTTTAACCCCTAGTCATAATGCCCTAGGTTTGGCTCTTTGATTCTATGTAAACCATATTAAAAAGTGCATGAAAAAAATAAAAAAAATAGATGGCTAGGTAAAATTCATTATTTGAGCCCTATGCTCGAAGAATTGCTAGCTTCGTCAAGGCTAGGATGAGTGGATGACAGCAACTCTATCATGCTCTGGAGGAAGAATCGATCATCAGTGTCATCATTGGAGTCACTGATAGGAGGCGGTAGATCTGATAAGAGATTAGGGTGGCATAAGGTCATTTGCAATGTGCTTACCTATCTATGGCATCGATGTACCATGTTGGAGATTTTCCACCACGTCAACCATTGCTATGCCTTTGCCTAGCCCCTCGGCCCTTCACAAGGATGCACGTTCCTTGGAGCCTTTTACGGTGCTTGGGAGGTATCTCAGGTACCTCCTAAGCCACTTAATATCCATCGTTGATGTTCCAAAGGGCATTTTAGGGATAGAAAATAACTTAAAGAAACACTAATATTCTGACTAATAATAATTTCTAACTAACATTTCTGATTTTCTGTCATCTAACTTTCTCACGTAGGGATTAGCCACTCAAGACTAACTAATTTTCTATATCTCGTTGTTATTGGTATTGTTGCAGCAATCTACACATGCTTTTACTACTGATCTGAAACCAGTTTTTTTGTAATCTAGAGATGAACGAAGGGAAAGGATTATATAGATGTTTCTTTTCATGCATTCTTTCATAATCAAGATGAACAAAGGAAAATGAGTACATAGTTTGTAACTATTGATCAACTACCTAGTTGTTTCTGAAAGAAACTACGAGCATTATTATTCTTCTGCCAACAAAATATAACCATCACCTGAGTTTATGGGATAGAGATACTAACACAGCGAGAAAGAGGGAGATGTCAACGAGACTACATCCATAAGAGGATAACCGTTCACTTTTAAAATAATAGATGCAAAATTACATATCTCTTTTAAAATAATAGATGCAAAATTACATATCTAACCTTCCACTTATCTCTAAGTTAAGCACCTGGCCCACATATTTAGTACCTTCTCACGTATACCTCGTGTCGTAGAGCGTTGGATCAGAGCCAATCAATGGATATCTGGCATTCCAAGCACACTAGAAAAGCTCTCCTTGACAACATGGGGTAGGTGAAGGCACGCCAAGAGTCGCGTTGGGGAGGCCCGAGGCCGTGTTCCTAGCGACCGCGTCTCCTGAACTGCCTTTGCCGTCATCGAGTTGCCACCGCCTCCATCGTTGAGCTACCACGGTCCTCGAGCTACCATCATCTGGCGAGCTCGGCCTCACCGTTGGTCCAGGTGCCAACAGAGAGGGGGAGGGAGTGACAAAGTGGGCGATAGGAGGTGATTTTGTTTTTTTATTCTGATTTTTGAGATGTTCGGTGTAGAATATTGAGGCTCTTTATAAATCAACAAAACATGAGTACTAATATAGAAAATAGTAGGGGCTAGCATTCAAAATCATGACTTTTTTATAGTACTTGTTGTGACTCACAAGAAGGTAATGATTAGTAAAAGTGTAAAAAAAATATGGTGATAAATTAATTAATAACCCCTCATAATATGGCAAAATTGGTTATATAGCATCAAAAGTTCACCTTTTTTTTATAGCAACGAAAGATACCGGTTCACTTTAATAGTATAAAAAATTCATCCCATTCCTATTTTTAACACTTCCGTCAATTCTCGATCGTTTTCTGTCCGCCTTGATCACTATTGACCCAGCCACGCACACGATATGACTGTCGACAGGGGATATCCGTAGACCGGATATAGAGGGTATTGGGGTACGTTAGAACGAGGATCTACGTAATACGACATCAAGCAAACAAAAGACAAGGATTATACTGGTTCAGGCCCCTTGGTAAGTAATAGCCCTAATCCAAATGGTATGGGATTATATAATGGAAACCACAGATTACAAAGGGAATGGTGGAACTTGATGATACCGACGAGACCGCAGTCAAGTTGGTTCGACTAGATCACCCCGCGATTCGGCTCATGTAGGCTCTGACTTCGTAGGCTGTGGTGGATGTATTGGCGGTGAGATTCGATGCCTTAGGTCCTGCCCAGGGGGTCCCTTTTATACTGCGGGTCAGTTGGTCTCCAAGTAGGACTCGAAGATATCGGACCCCTCACGGTATGGTAAAGACCCAGTCCTGTCCGAGTAGGACTCCTTCCATCTGTGGATTCTGCCCCTATCACGTGATAGAGTTCCTTAACGTATACAGGAACTACCCGTATACGCGCGGGTACACCGTATCAGTATACAACGTATATCCAAAGATAGAGGGTATACCTTATCCGTAACTCTGACAATGACGTTTCTACTCCTCACAGTACAAGTAGAATGCATGGCAATGAGGGTAGAAACATCATATCGTGTGCGTGGCTGGGTCAATTGCGATCAAGACGGATGAAAAATGATCGAGAATTGACGGAAGTGTTAAAAATGAGAACGGGTTGAACTTTAGGTGCTATTAAAATAAAATAAATTGGTATCTTTCGGTGCTATAAAACTAAAAAGTGAACTTTTAATGCCATATAACTAATTTTGCCTCATAATGTCACCATAAAGTGTTGGGTTCTTTTCTAAATATGACTGACACCGCCATTGTTTTCCTTGTATGGTGTTGCACTTTACATACGGTATGATAATGGAGTAATTAACTTCCTTATATCTGTCTTGCGATCCTAGGGATCTACCAGACACTTATGCCTTATCCATTTTACTAGGGAAATAAAATCAACTTTTGTATCCAGTGGAGTAGCGAATTAATTAATTAACCGCATGCCGAATCAAAAGGCAAGGGAACGTTGTTGTGGACCAGCATTTTGGTTCGCCCCAGAATCCCCACGTCTCGCGCTGCCGCTTTGGCGCCTTTACCCCCTCTCCATACCTCATAAATTTGCGGTCGCCTTCTGCGCCGCTGAGAACGCGTCATAATACGGAAGAGTGAGCTCTAGTTCAGTACAAGTTCGCCAGCTCTTTCCTGAAGCAGAGGAGAGGAGGAAAAGATAGTGTCTTGCTGTGTACACTCAGGTCAACAGAGGCGGCTGGAGATGGCGGGCGGCCGGCAGGACTTCCGGCGGCCCACACCCAAGTTCGTCGCCGCGTTGTCGAGGACGAGCTCCGCGTTCCTCTTCTTCTCCGTCGTCGTCGTGGGGTTGGTCTCGTCTGCTCGTTGGATCACCAGGTTCACGGTGAGTTCGAAACCTTCTGATTCCCTTAATCCCGTGTCTCGTTCTTGCTGGATGATCGATCGGTACATCATTCTCAATGGATGATACAAAGCTCTAGAATTCCTCTTCGAGCTTATGGAACCAGATTGCAACATGGTTTCTTGTTGATCTGACACACGATGCTACAGCTAATTCAATGATTCTGCTCTGCACCGACTGTAGTCTGTAGTTATGCCGCGCATATGAGGGCCATGACATGAACATCTTTAGTTCTTTGACCGAGAACCACTGTAACCAAGTTAATTTTCTCTCCTCTCTCTAACGAACTGCATCACGAATTCACGATTATGATTGTGCCCCTATAATCCCAAATTAGTTGACTCGAGGAAGCACCCGCCACTGTTCGTGTAATGAGCACCGGAAACGCGAGACAGCCGAAACTGTCCGGCGTCTTCGTGAATGGTGGTGGCTAGGGTTTTATGGCATTTTAGTCTTCCTGGTCCGTCTGCCATTTCGCCGTCGCCGGCTAGGACCACCTCCCACCGGTGCAGAAAGCCACCATGCCAGTAGGTAGGTAGGCTTCTTCTTTTCCATTTTCTGTCATTAAGGTGGTGTTTGGATACAGGGACTTAACTTTAGTCCCTATATTTAGACACTAATTTAAAGTATTAAATATAGACTACTTACAAAACTAATTATATAAATGAAAGCTAATTTGCGAGACAAATTTTTAAAACCTAATTAATCAATAATTAGATAATGTTTACTGTAGCATTACATAGGCTAATCATTGATTAATTAGACTCAATAGATTCGTCTATTAAATTAGTCTAAGATTATGGATGTGTTTTATTAATAGTCTACATCTAATATTTATAATTATTGTTCAAACATCCGATGTGATAGGGACGTTTTAGGCCTTACTCCGTGTTGTGCCCCTCACGTCACGGTGCTCGTTCATGCCCGCCGCGCCCACACTATGCGCTTATTTTAGAGGCGCTAGCTGCCTAGCTCAGCATTCATACATTCAGTGGCTGATCAGTGCAAACAGCATAGAACTGCGTAATTTTATCTGCTTCCCTTCCAATTCCGTTCAGAATACGGAAAATGAACCCTGAAAGAGGGGGGATAGAGTTTTCGAGAGGATGGTGATCTAGGATCACGAGAGCTCGTGCAATAGAAAAGACGAGAAGAACAAAAGAGGAGGCCTCACGGGGAGAGTGAGAGCTGGTCGGATCGGATTGGATGCTGGAAGTTGGAACTTGAACCAACGCCGCAGCTGTGACGCATGGCTCTCGTCTCTCGAGATAACCATGGTGCCACTGAGCTAATCCGTGGGCGTTCGCGGGTCGTTGTTACTGGCCGGGCTTCACGGTTTATCATATTTACGGGCCACATTTGGGCTGCGTGGTCCATCAATATTAAGGCCCATAGATGCAATTCTTTTGGGCTCATGCGATTTATTTTTCCTTTTTTCTTCTCGCCGTGATCGTTCCTCTTTGCAGTTGCAGGCGAGCCCCCCAGCCACGGCGGCCATTCCCGCCGCCGTCGCCGCCACTACCCGCGCCGGAGTACCAGCGGCGCCGCCGCATCCCACCTACTCCATCTCCTGCTCCACGCCGCCGCGCCCCCCGCTTAACCTCTCCGGTGGTGGCGGCGCCAGAACGCCCCAAACCTCCCAAACCCTCGCGCTCGCGCTCTCCTCCTCCTCGTCCTCCTGTCGCTCCTCCCCTGACCCCGCCACCGCCTCCGCCTCCGTCTCCGCCTCCAATTCCTCCTCGTGCCCCTCCTACTTTCGCTTCATCCACGAGGACCTCCGCCCATGGCGCGACGCTGGGGGAATCACCCGCGCCATGCTGGCGCGCGCTCGCGTCACCGCCAGCTTCCGCCTCCTCGTGCTGGGCGGCCGCGCCTTCGTGCATCGGTTCCGCCCGGCATTCCAGACCCGCGATCTCTTCACCATCTGGGGCGTCCTCCAGCTGCTCCGCCGCTACCCCGGGCGGGTCCCCGACCTCGACCTCATGTTCGACTGCGCCGACTGGCCCGTCGTCCGCACGCACCTCTACCGCGGGAAGCACGCTGCCTTCATGCCTCCACTGTTCAGCTACTGCGGGGATGACAGGACTCTGGATATCGTCTTCCCGGACTGGTCATTTTGGGGCTGGTAATATGCTTGCTCGTCTTCTGCATTTCTGTTACCATTATGAAGATTATATGATAATTTTCTTTTGGCCTCTTTCGGTCTAAAGAACATGATACAGAAACAAGTATAAGATTTCTTTGTAGGATCGAAATTCTACTGTATAGTGCATTGTTCGCTCAATCCACACAATAGGAAATTGCTAGTACCTAGTGCTTTCAGTATTATTAATAGGATACTCAGATACTTGGGGGATTGCAAACCCGTAGGATGTTTGGCTGTGCCATGTGCATATTTTTTTTACATAATGGATAGAAATCCGGCCTCTATATACACGGGTGGATATACACAGCCATTGCCATGTGCATATGGAGTTTAGTCACTCTAACAAGTATCACGGTTGGTAGGCCAGAGATCAACATAAAGCCGTGGGATGCCCTGCGGCAAGACCTGAAGGATGGCAATAATAGGGTGAAATGGTTGGATAGAGTACCTTATGCATACTGGAAAGGAAATCCAGCAGTTGCTGTGACACGGCAGGAATTGGTTAACTGTAATGTCTCTACTACAAAAGATTGGAATGCAAGGATCTACAAACAGGTACTTCTTGCATATGCATGAGTACATGGTTGAATTTTTCATACTTTTTACATTAAAACTGTTTTATGTTGTGCTGTAGGATTGGTTCAGAGAGAGCAAGGCAGGGTACAAGGACTCAAATTTGGGTAGTCAATGCACGCACAGGTCTTATCTGTTTTTTTGTTGTTGTTGTTTTTTCTGGTGATAGTAACTTATCAAGGATCTATGCAATTTTATTTTCGGTGTCTAAGTTAATGATGTGTAGTTCGTATTTAACAGGTACAAGATCTATATAGAAGGGTCAGCATGGTCAGTCAGTCAGAAATATATTCTAGCATGTGATTCAATGACACTGCTGGTTACACCAAGATACTATGATTTCTTTTCGAGGTCACTTATGCCGATTCAGCATTATTGGCCTGTTCATAATGACAATAAATGTGACTCCATAAAATATGCAGTTGACTGGGGCAACTCTCACAAGCAATTGGTACCTATCGTCTATCTATTTACACCTACACCTGTAGACAATTGAGTTTTGCAATGCTTAATAGTATAGATGGAACTTATCACAACAAACTCAGTTGAATACTAATAGAAATCCGCTCAAGCTGCAATATATGTAAATGCAAGCTGCCAGATTGTTCTAGAGCATCTATGTTTCACTAGGACATAATTAAAACTGGTTCAGATTATGAGCTTGTATGATGCTATGAAATTATACCGCAAACAATTTGTGCCCCCTAACAGTGCACTGATAAATTATAGGTTATGGTATATTTTTCATATTTTGTTGGACAGTAAATAATCCCAACATTTTTCATGATGTAAACTGTGATTTATTGGGTTAAGCATTGTTAGCTAGAAATATTTATCCAAACTGTTCTTCATCTTCACTTGAAATTGTCAATTCTGGAAAAAATCCCTGCTGCTCGAAGAATTGTGTTACAACTTCTTTTTATTTTTGACAACGAGCACTTGGAGCTCTTGCATTGGACTTTATAAATTTCTTAAATGACGAATATATTGAGCAGAATACTGAGCAATTTACTATGTCTTTATGTTACAGCACACCGCATTGTTTAATTGTTGCCTTTTTTTTTAGGGATATATCACATGTTTCTGCTTGATAAAATATGGCCCCATACTCTAAATCTGTCATAGGCACAGCGCATAGGAAAACAAGCCAGTGATTTCATCGAAGAAGATGTTAATATGGACCGTGTTTATGATTACATGCTTCACCTTCTAACTGAATATGCCAAGCTCCTAAGGTTCAGGCCAATTAAACCACCTGAAGCTGTTGAGATCTGTCCTGATTCTTTGGCCTGCCAAGCTGAAGGCCTTGAGAAGAAGTTTCTTATGGAATCCATGGTGAAGTCTGCCCGTGATGCAGGTCCGTGTGATCTGCCACCTCCTTTCAACCCTCAAGAGCTCGCAATGATTAAGCGAAGGAAGGACAATTCGATCAAGCAGATTCAAACATGGGAGAGAATATCTGGGAGGGCTTAGTTGCTTAGAGATGATCTTTAAGCCTCTGCCTTCCCCCCCTCCCACCCCACCACAAATACAGGCATACATAATTGGATTTTCTAGGAGTTCTGGTCTATTTTGGTTTCATCGTGGTTCTAACAAACACCAAGCATTGGTTGACCTATTCAAATGTCCAAACATTTAGAGAATTTGAAATACGGTGTTACTCATTTCATATTATTTTTCTTCTTTTTGCTAGATTTAGTGTTTGCTTTGTAAAGCCATTGTAACAGACAGATATAATAATCTGAACTGTTCAGAAGATATTCTTAACGCATATCATGCCACCTTTATGTTAAAATTCTGTTTATTCGCAATGCCTCACTGAGAATGCTGAGATGTAATAAATGAGAAGGATATCATAGATCTGTTCAGCGCTAGCATGGTAAAACATTATGCACCAAGAAGCTGCTGAATGAAGTCAGGTATGTTCTTTGCGCTTACTGCTAACTGCCGATTGCTCCTAAATGGTGTGGGTACTGTTTGATATTTTTAATGGCATCATAAGCTTCTTAACTTATATTTCCTTCAGGTGCTTTTTGAGTGCTTTCTATCCACTGGCAAGAAGGTTGCAGCTGCTGCAGACGGCTGAATGCTAACAACCATTTCACCAGTTCTTTATTTTTTTTACTGTGAAGCTTATAAATACATCAATGGTTCAATGGCATGCTGATGAGCCCATCAGCCCAAGGAAGGTGCCATTATCTGGGAGGTGCATCCATGTATGATTGCGTCATTTGGAGGTGCTAGACCTGTGCCAACTTAAAATTCAGAGTCAATGACACTATGCAATTTTTCTCTGTTGGATAGGTCATGAATCCAGGATTCCGGGGTGCAATTCTCGACTGCTTCGTTGCCATTGGTGCCAGGTAAAACCTTTTAGTTACTGAACTACTACTTTGTCCATGCCTTGCCACCAATCCGAGTATAGGAACTTTACACTGATAATTGGTTTGGTTGTTGTAGTGAAACCCTTCCTTTCTTTTACTTTCTGTCAGTTGGAACAGTCAGCACCTACAATCCATAGGGTAAAAAAGCCGTGGAGAGTTTATGGACATCAAAATAGATAAGAATTATAAAAATCTTTAGTACTGTTAATATTTTATAGTTTTTTTTACCATCAACAACAACCAATAGGGAGAAGTCAATAGAGGAAAAGGGTGGCTTTGTGAGCACTTTAGAAGGGCAATTTCTTTGAGCCTCCTTCATTGGCACCTCCATGTAGTCTCCACAAAAAAGGGACACCTCTCTATAGTCTCAAGCCTTTTCCTTCCAAAATTTATTTGCTAGCCGGAAACTATTTTCTTTAAAAGAAAAGCTAAAACATGATTCTCCTGCTGTGCTGACATGCCAAAGAACAAGTTGTGCAGCTCATTTTCATTCGGCGAAACTTGGCACAGTGAAGCAACATGGGTTGTGAAGATCATTATTTCTTAAATCGATAAGAAGACAGGCTTGGAGACCGACACTATTTCTTCACAGAGCTTATGCTTTTGGAGTATACTTTTCTATATTCTATACAAATATATGGGAAAAGGTCTGCTGTATATTTTTCCTTGAAAATGAAGACCATTGCACAACTGAAAAACAACTACGACTACATTTTTTTTTTTTTGCAAAAACAACAACTACTAATACATGAAAAGCTAATGTAGAAAGGAGAAAGTGAAAGGAGAGGTAAGAACAACTTCTCTCAGAAGTGTCCTGGAGAAGCTTGTGTTTGAAGGCTATTCATCTACTAGCATTTCGTTTTTCCAGCCACGGGCATCATCATTATTAATATCCACTTGATTTGCTTGGAAGCTTCACTATCTCACTTTCAGGTCATCTTTAAGCTAAATAATCTTCATTCTTTTGGTGTTATACCATGTGCATATCTCTCAAACTTGACTTCCGTTGGACTGCAAGCAATTAACATATACTCAAATTAACAGCACTGCGAAGGTGAAAATACTTTCTTTTCTTTTTCATAAAAAGAAGGAATATAAAGGATTCCTAATCAATTTGCAGGCATGGGGATGCTTCCCAGTTAATCAATGATTAGCTATTACTTTTCTTTATTAAACTAACACTTTTGTTTGTTACGACATATGATGACGCCGCCTAGTTCTTGATCTTTCTCCTGTCAAATTATGTTACATACCATGGGATGGTGATGTGTACTCCTCTTTGAATACTCTAGCATTAGTTATCTTTCTGCAATAGTGGTTGCAACAACTCTCCTAAGGTTACTGCGTAATTGTTTATTTTTTGTTAATAAAATGTAGGGTGCTACAAATCAAAGATTCAAAGAGCTAGCTAGCAGCAAGGAAACATCCCGTGGCATAAAGAAACAGCAAATTCGGCTGTGACGTTGAACAGAACTATATATTTGTCCTGAATCCTGATCCAACTTTTTTTTTAATCGTCTTCTAACCAAGTCGTTTTCAGTGCGTACGCGCAAGGGAGCGTACTATGCCTGCTATCTAAAACTCGAATTAGTGTTTGGACGGTTTCAAAGTTCATTAGAGGGACGGTAAACGCCAAAACTCTGATGAAGCTAAGTGGCAGTTTCAGGTAAAGACTTCGCACCTCCTGATGCGAATAGTACACTGGATCGAGTAGGGTATGTGTCTTGATCTCAAGTTCTAAACTTGCAACAAGTACCTTCCGTGATTTTGTGCGGGCATCCTGCGTCTGCAGTTTAGTACAGATACAAACTAGTTCAGATTCTACTCCAAGTTTAGTCTTTATTAACCGATGGGTAATGAAGATGGCAGAGCATTACTATCGTCTATCGCTACGCACGGATACGTCTGTAGAAGAAGACTGTCACGTGCGACGGTGCAGAACTCACTCAGATGATAGTTGAATTATTTAATTAATCAATACAGGGAGAGTGAGAGACTGAGAGAGGGAGGGAGAGAGACTGGATGGTTTAAATTAATACATGCGGTGGTTTGGCTGTCTGGCTGGTCTTGCATGGTGAAGGAGGACATCATAACTGCTTGCCGTGGCCGTTAAGTGCAACTGCTGTTGCTGCTTCTTCTTCTTCTTCTAGGTTCGGGGCCATAAATAAAAGTCTACCATGCGAGCAGGCCTCCTCTGCTTCAGCTGAGGTGGCACGACGACCATGGCGAGGCTGCTCGGAGTCTCCCTCCTCGTCGCGGGGCTCGGCTGCGCGCTGCTCGTCGCGCCCTCGGAATCAGCTGCAGATGACGGTATCAATTGCCCTTCCCATGTGTATTGTATGTATCTATTTTTCCATCTTTTGTGCCGTTCGTTTCTTGAGAAGTTGTTGCGTTGTTGTTGTTGTTGCGCAGTATCTGCGCTTCTTGCTTTCAAGAAGGCCATTTTCGAGGACCCTCTCGCCAAGCTGTCGGACTGGAACTCCAAGGATGAGAATCCTTGCGGCTGGACAGGGGTGGGGTGCTCGCCGTTCGACAGCCGCGTGGTGACTCTGTAAGAACTGGTTCCGCTTGTTCTCCTGTTGGTTTTTTTCTTTCTTTTCGTTGCATCACTTTAAAACATCATGCGGCTGAGATAGAACTTTAAGTTTTTGTTTAAGCAATCCACCATTTCTCGCGGAGTATTTGTGCATGCCCTGTTTTGGTTCATGTCTTGCACGGATGGAAGAAGTTTTTTCAGTCATAGGTTATCCTCTTTCAGAGTTTTTTAATTTTTTTTTAGAAATAATGGAATAACATTCCAGCTCTTTCAGAGCTTCTTGAACATGCACTTTCTCCTATGAAAATTAAAAACTGGCTGGAGGCCTCTCTATAACAACAGCAAGTCAGAATGATGCATGTTCTTTCAGAGAACAGTGGGCCTTAAGTTTTCTGGCTGCACCACAAGACATCCAGCTGGAAGCTATCATAGAGTTTTACCTTCTTTTATTTGTTTTCTCTTATGTTCAGTTGACTCAAGAAGCCCCAACAGGGAAAGAAGAGATTATGGATTTGTGGTCCCTAGGAACAAAAAAAAAAATCAATCCAACAGATTTCAGTTATCTATTACAATAAATATAATCCAAGTGGTGTTTATCCAAACACCAAAGTCAGATAAAATGAATATATAGTTTTATTTACACACGTTTTCTGTTCAAGTAAAAAATCACTAAATGTTCAGCATTGCAGAAATTTCAGTTGGTGTGTATTCCCTCGTCCCAAAATATAGCAACCTAGGACCGGATGGGACGTATCCTAGTACTACGAATCTGGACAGGGGACATGTCAAGATTCGTAGTACTAAAATACGTCCCATCCGGTACTAGTTTGCTATATTCTGGGACGGAGGAAGTACATTTTATTGTACATTTTATTGATAAACTTCCCTCTTCTCTATTGTAAAGTATCTTATTATTTACACGTTGTTATCCAGGGAATTGGCAAATTCATCGCTCAAAGGATTCCTGGCACTAGAGATTGAATCCCTGAGTTCTTTACAAAAACTGTATGTACTTATATGTCCATTTGATTCAATAATAAACTTGACCTGTTAGCCACTACTGAACTGATAGCAATCTTGGTGAACTTCTTGCAGCATATTGGATCACAATACACTCATGGGTCCAATACCAAAAGGAATTGGCAAGCTAAGAAATCTAATTATGTTGAACCTCAGCACCAATCAACTCGATGGGCCCATTCCCATTGAGATTGGTGACATGCCAAAAATCTCAAAAATGTACTGACCAAGAAGCTATAATCAACTTATATTTCTTCAGAATATGTTCAAAATTCATAACTCATCTATTGCCTTATGCCCTAGAGACCTTCGTGCGAATCGGTTGGATGGTGCTATCCCCCCTGAGATTGGTAATTTGACGAGCCTCACTGAGCTACAATTGAGCAATAATAGCCTTACAGGGACTATTCCTGGAAGTAATGATTCAAGCATGTAAGTAATACTTTTCAGAGTTCTCCAAATTCAAAGTCAAGTAACTGTTTTCAGCATGCATAAACTGGAAATGCATGGAAGAACCAAATAATGTTTCTTCTATAGGAAGGAATTAAAGTGATTTAGTTAAGAAGTAGACATCAATCAGGATTGACTCCATCCTGCAGTATTTACAGTAAAAGAAAGTATGAGTAGTTATGATTTATCATATACAAGCAAGTCTGATGAGATCAGAACCAATTATAATGCTGACAAACATTTGAATAAGCAATGTCACGCATCTTTCAGGGTATCCACCAACAGAGACGGTCAAATAGGATTGTGCCGATTAACTCAGCTAACTGATATGGACCTCTCTTATAACTATTTGGCTGGAGATGTTCCTACATGCTTCATGCAAATCCGAAGGTACACCTTGCTTTCTGTGGCTTGGATGGTTCAGTTTAGTCTTTCTGAACTTACCTGCTTTGCAGTATTTGAACAGATTAAGCTTGGTAGGAAATTGTTTCGAGAACAATGACACAACGAATCGTCCTGACAATCAATGTATGGCTATATTTCATTTTAACATGTTAATATCATTAATGCAGTTTAGTACTATTTTCAGCACTAAATTCAGCGCAAAGTTTTCTTACCGTTTGCCGCGATGTTCGATGTCATTTTCACAAGAGCGTATAAACATTATATATTTTTAGATTCACCTAACGGTTCATTTTTGCTGTCAAAATGTTACAGAAACGAAATTATTGTATGTATTACTTCTTAATAGGTAATATCCATGGCAACCTTGATAACTAAGGGACTACTGTCTACTTCCACCGGTTAGGCTAGGCTAATATGAAAACTGATGCACATCCATGTTCAAAAAAAAAAAAAGTTACACATCCATTTCTTCATTATTCAAAGTTAATTGAGTAATTTTTGGGTCCCGATAACATAGGTGGTGTATAGACCGTCCCAATTTACTAGCTGTAGCAAAGTAGGCCCTACGTTGTAAATGACATCATTAGTTTTTAATCACTAATGCTACTCATGGTGACTTAGGCATAGTGGAATCTTAGCTATCGTTGATAACATAAATAACTATACTTTGGCACTTTGTTTCCTTCCTTCTTGGACGTTATCTCTCACATTCTTCCTTTTGTCCTCCATGCTCTCTGTATGTCGGTATTTTATTTCTAAGTATTCAATTGTTCTGTTGGATTTTTATAATTCAGCACTGAACTGCCATGAATCAGGATTTAACCTATATTTGTGCATTTTCAAATACGACATGCACATACTTTTATGTTTGATATATGAGACCGCATGAGCCTTCTAAAGTAATTTATGAAACAACCAAACTAGAATGTTTATACTGCTTTAGTCAACTGATCAATGAGCAAGTGCATGTGCTGTAATTACAGGTGAAAACAGCCAGAAAGGAAATGAAAGCAGCCGTGTTGATGGAAACCAGCAGAAAAGCTTTCAACAACCACTTTGGCTTCTTATTCTAGAAGTCATTACAGCAATTTCATTGCTTACTGTGTTAACACTATGTACTATAGCTGGTCTCAGAAGATGCAAAGCTAGATCCTCCAGAAACAGTGGTACATGGACAAGGGCTATAAGCTGGAAGGAAAATACTGTAATTTCGATTGGTAAGTGTTTCTTTTTATTTGTGTGTGTGTGAGTGACTGGCGAAGTAAATATTGCACTTCCTTGGTTACAGAATGTTTGCTTGTGTAGATGATGACTTGCTGGCGAATGTGCCAAAAATAAGTCGGCAAGAGCTTGCAGAAGCCTGTGAAGACTTCAGCAATATCATTGGATCTACTCATGACACGGTGGTGTACAAAGGAACTATGAAGGATGGCAGTGAAATTGCTGTTGTGTCACTATCAGCTTCAGTACATTACTGGACGAGTTACGTTGAGCTGTACTTCCAGAAGGAGGCAAGAAGAACTCTGCATCTTGTGACTCGAAATTTCAAAAGGTGCAGCTATTTGCTTATATCTCATGGTACTTTTGAATTCTTCAGGTGGTAGAAATGGCCAGATTGAGTCATGAAAATGTTGCGAAGATGGTGGGATACAGCAAGGAGTCCGATCCATTTTCGAGAATGCTAGTCTTTCAGTACCCACCAAATGGGACACTCTATGAGCATCTTCATGGTAACCCAATGATCTCTCATCTTGTTGCCTTTCTGTTCAAAAGGTTGATACCACATGACATGGTGATAATAACTTAAATTTTGATGTATGCTATTTCTTGCAGATGGAGAAGGATATCAGCTATCTTGGCCCAGGCGGATGAAAATAGCACTCAGCATTGCTCGCGCCCTCAGATACCTGCACACTGAGATGCAGCCTCCATTTGCAGTTGCTGCACTGACATCAAGTTCAGTTTATCTAACTGAAGATTTCTCCCCAAAGGTCCGTCTCATCTGCTTGTGCCTTGTGACATGGCAATGAACATGGTGTCCTAGATTCGGTGCAGTCACACACAAATTGTCCTGTTCATGTAACAGCTTTTTTTTAGATAATGGATTAGATTAAACCCAGCCTCTACACCTTTGTGGGGTGTACACAGCTAAATGTAACAGCTGAAATGGTTTATGCGTTTGCAGATAATTGATTTTGAGAGATGGAGAGCTCTCCTGACAAAACCAGGGCTCAGCTCTGGCAGCATAGTGAACGGGTCATTCAACAACATCATAGACTCGCGGCACAGGCGTTTCATGGACATCCAGGCCAACACGTTTGCTTTCGGGGTGATTCTGCTGGAGCTGATAAGTGGAAGAGCCCCAGTTTCCAAAGATACAGGAGATCTTGTGGACTGGGTAAGTAACTTGGCCTGAATCATGATTTGACACCAGTAATTCCAGACATTGAATTATCAGATAAATGAAAACCGTGGCACTAGTCTGAAAGTCTGAAACTCTGCAATGTTGGTCCAACTTGGGGTCACAGGCAAGGAAGCACTTGGACCAGACCGAAGAATTCATCAAGCTGGTCGACCCGAAGCTGATGAACGCCAACCATGAGAACCTGGGCATCGTCTGCAACGTGGTGAACCTCTGCATCGACGCCGAGCCGTGCCGGAGACCGTCGATGAACATGATCACCGCCATTCTGGAGGAAGGCATCGACACGTCGCCGGCGACCGTCCTTCGGGACTCCTCCCTGGCATGGGCGGAGGCAGAGATTGCCATCTCGTAGTCGTAGACGGACATGCAATTTGCTGCTACTCGGACAGTAACTACAGAGACGCACACAGTGGTTTTGCCACAAAGGGCTTTTTAACCTTTTTTTTTTCTTTTTGATTCGTGGCTACTGCTTTACGTTTCCTCGGTGCCTTTTTGCCTCTCCCTCTCCCAGATCACATGAAAAATGTGTGGATATTTTGTGAGCGGATTTGATGTGTGATATGTCATATGTGATCTACCCAGGATTTACCTTTTCATTTTCGAAGTTTTAAAAAAAATGATCGAAAATCGACACCTTTCGATCAACGCCATATGAAAACTGGCCAATACCAGCTTCCACAAACCGATGACCAACCGCGAAAACCTGATCTAGCAGACTTTGAGTTTGTATGCCACTAAAATATACTATCTCCATATTTTAATGTATGACGCCGTTGACTTTTTGTCCAACGTTTGACCATTCGTCTTATTCAAAAAATTTATGTAATTATCATTTATTTTATTATGACTTGATTAGTCATCAAATATTCTTTAAGCATAACATAAATATTTTCATATTTGCACAAAAAATTTGAATAAAACGAATGGTCAAACGTTGGTTGAAAAGTCAACAGCGTCATACATTAAAATATGGAGGGAGTATATTTTATTGGCTAAAAGGCCCCCTAAATATATATTTATATTTTAAAACGTAAAACTCGTTTTCTGAATTTGAGTTTCTCTGAAGAAAAAAAAAATCCTCAAGCATCAAATTGTTCCTTCCCACCGTGGGGCCCAACTCTCAGCACGAGACGCGGCCCAACTCCCAAACATCGGAATAAGCCGACCAGCCATGGCCCATGGGAGTGCCCAACCACAGCCCAATTATCGGCGCGGCCTAACTCCGCAAACACTCGGATGGGCCGCCCAGCCATGGCCCATGAGCGAGCCCGACCTCAGCGAAAGTCTCTGTCTCTCTCCCTCCTCTCAGAGAAGAAGGGGAGGAGAAGGGGGCACGCCGCCACGCCATGGCGGGAGAGGAAATCGGCGCGAGCGAGGAGCACGGGTGCGCCGCGGGAGGCGAGCCCATGAACGACTACGAGAGGCAGCGGCTGGCGCGGATTCGGGAGAACGAGGCGCGCCTCCAGGCCCTCGGCATCCGCCGGCTCGCCGCGTCCCCTCTCCTCCACAGCCCGGCTTCATCGGCGGGGGGCAAGGGGAAGCGGAAGAGCCGAGCCGCCGACGCGGACGAGGAGTACCTCCCGTCCGACGGCGGAGAGGATGATGATGAGGAGGAGAGCTCGTCGACCAGCGACCAGGATGGCGAGGAAGAGGAGGACGCCGAGGCTTCCTCTAGGTCTCGGAAAAAGGTCCTATTTTCTTCCCCCGTGAAAGAAATCCTGCTTCATTGATCCTGCTTCATTGATTGTGTCGTTGCTGCCAACTCGCTGGAAGAATCACATCTCATTTTGTGTCAGATGTAGTAGTGTACTAACCTGTAGTGACCTTTTATTCTCATTCTAGCCCATTTAACTAAAAAACTAATCCCTTTAACTAATCTCCCTTGACATTGTTATTGAGCAAAATGATAAGCATATCACGGTTCATGACGTCCATTGAGGTTAAATTATGGTTTCGTTATCCAACAATGGTTTCATTTATCCAACAAAAATAACCAATGACACATTGTGTTTGCCAAACTCAACCCTCCCAAGTGATAATGTAGTAAATTTTACTCCATAATGCATTGCAGATCCAGTAATGAAATGTGCATCATAAATTCATAATATAGCTTTACATTTTTGTATGCATTATTCTCTTTTATTAACGCACTTGTTTTTCTCCTGTTTGTTTTCAGGGAAAGAAAAAGGTACTGAACTCAGGAAAGTCTTCTCAAGTTACGCATAGAAAAGAGAATGCTCACCTCGCTGATTCTGTGGATGATGATGCAGCCTTACAGCAGGTATTATGTGACAAATTCAGCCACTAAGCTGAGAATCCTATAATGTCATTTGAAAACTCTTAACTTGCTAACCTCTTTTTTAACCGCAAGTTATTCACTCGATCATTCTTGAGCAATCATAATCATGCAGGCAATTGCTCTGTCCCTGGCAGAATCTTTAGAAAATTCTGTGCCAGCAATGAGTGGAGAAACTCCAAGCACAGGGATGAAAGGAAGTGGTAGCACACCATGCAAAAAGAATAATACTGTACCCATTCAAGACTCAGCTAAAACCATGAGGATAAAAAAGCAGGTATGTTGCTCCAAGCATGGCCTGTACAAATTTCCTATCCTATCTAATTGTATTTTACAGAATTACAGTATCATTTCTCATTGCTTTTAGGGCAAGAGCAGGATACAACTGACAGAAGATGATGTGGTTGCATTCTTCTTTTCATTTGATGGTACCTTATCTAGCTTGAGAGTTCCTTTTTGACCTACTTGAAACTTTGGGTTTACCTGAAAGAGAACATTTGAACTTTGGATTGCATTAAAATCAGTTGCTTATAGCTCCAGTGCTCCACAATGTAGTCAAGGAAGGAATTAGCCAGAGAAAAAGAATTTGCAGGAAGTTGTTAAGTTGAGCTTGCTTAGTTCCTTTTATCCATTTATATTTTTAGAAATGACGGACATGGCACAGTGCATAATGACACATTGTTGTTTAATTTGATATCTGACTTGTATGGTTTATGTCCAATTTCCTTCCCATTGAATTTATTATCATAGTCCTCATCTGCACTGCAAGTACTTTCAGATTTTTGTTTTACTCGTATCATCAGATTTTCATCCAAACTTAACCAGCATGCACATCAGCATATTTTTGTATGGTTATGGCCATAACATGCCTCTGTATATACCTTAGGTATGCCTATACTGATTTGTGTTTCTTTCCTTTTGGCCTTCATCATCTGTTTAAAATGTTTGTCCAAGCCACAACTTTGCTCTGGTTCCTTTACTATGGATTGTGCAATACTTGCTGAAAAATTAACAGACACTCCTTTTCTTCTGTGGCATGCACCACCAAAACTTCATTTTGGGTTCTATCTCTTACTTTTGTAAACATTCTAAAATGGTTATTACTTACTACTTTGATCTATAGAAGTTGGAAAAGGATATATCACGCCGTGGGATCTTGAACGAATGGCCACAGTGCATGATTTCATCTGGACGGATTCTGAGATATCAAAGATGATCCATTGCTTTGATAGTGACAGGGATGGAAAGGTTTGCTTTCTTTTCTTGAATTGATTCTTGTGCACTCACAGAAGCATGCCCTGTTTAAAACTTTGTTTTAATTTTAATGAAAAACAACAAGAAAAATTATTCTTGTGCATGCACAGAAGCATTTCCCAAGCAGTTAAATTGGCAATTGGGCCCAATCTAGAAAAAAAAATACATTTAGAAGATTCAAATCATGTAGACAAACCTCAGTTGATTCCTGTTTCAGCCAAGCCAACTGGCAGATTTTCACCCTTTTCCCTGCTATCTCCCTTTTCTTAAAATAAAAACAATGTGTGTTCTTTCAAAATAATGTGAAATGTTTTGGATCATTGTGGATTTACTGGATCAGCATTTCGTCAATATGTGAATACACCACCTGGCGTCAGCCAGCTTTACTGAATGACTAGTGACTGTCAGGAATTCAGGATAACTGTCTTCTCGTAACCACCCGTTGTGTGGGTTTTCAATTTTCATACGCAGCTCTCTCTCTCTCTCTCTCTCTCTCTCTCTCTCTCTCTCTCTCTCTCAATTAAAAAGATTTCAGGAAAAAAGCCCCATTCCACAACTTCTATGCTCTCTATTTTCTTATACTTCTGTTTTACTTCTCCGCAGATTAACCTTGAGGATTTCCGCACCATTGTATCCCGATGCAACATGTTGCAGGAGCCTGAGAAGTCAGGATGAGATAACGAGACACGATCGGTCGATCTTGTTCAAAGATTCAAGCTCTTTTCTTTTTGTGGACAGTGCCTTTTTTCAAAGCCTACTGCATGAGTGTTACAAGAGGCGCTGATTGTGCATATGAAATGAGGCAATGAAACCCAGAACAGCATGAGCATCAAGTTCAGGCTTCAAGCTGACTAGGTTATTGCTGTTCTGCACTACTCTCCCATGTAAACTAATGTCTGAAAAACTAACTATAGAATATGCGTTCGTCATGAAGTTGTAAGACTGACATGCAAGTTGTTCCATCGAAAAGCGAGTGTCCCTATTATATTCTGCCTTATGTGCAAGTCAAGCTTACATGAGCTCTTGACGAGTACTACTAACCCATGTCCGAATCTGATTATTTTAAAAGTTAGCTATTGAACCAGACTCATTTGCTCCGAAACATAACTGAACATAACCACGTCTTCTGTCTTTGCAATACATAGGACAAACGTATCAGAATCAGGCAATCAGGACACTAGTAAATTGAAAGCAAGTTTACAGTTGTACCAACAGATACCGATGCGCAAACTTCTTAACTGCATAAGCTCTCCAAGCTCGCGACTAACTTGCAACTTAGTGTTAAGGAGATGAGTTATTGACTGTGTATGGTAGCCAGCCAATCTGAAGCACGCAATTACAGAATATACCAGATCCTAGGATGAATTTGCTATGCGGACTGCGGTAGTGTAGAACATGTGAGCAAACGCATCAGAAAATGCAGACAACAAATCAATTCTTAAGAAAGAAAAGGCCTAACGAAACAGAACTAGACAAGCTCATCTATCTCTTCATGATATACCCCAGTAGAATTCCCAGAAGAGCAACGACCACCACGAACACAAAAGGGAAACCACCATTCTGCTTGCTAATTTCCCTCCTCACAAGGTCCTGTTAAGATTCAAAAGAAATGCTTGATTACAACAATTTCATGGTTTTATGTGCACAAATAAAATACAACAAGTATTTCCCTTATAGCAACACTGCATAAAGCAGTACGGAAACCTTTTGTGATGCAACATTGTCATCGCCAAAATGATGAGAGGCAAAAAGGAGTACAGATTTAGGTGAGAGCATAATATATTTTTTTAAAAAAAGGAAGTATGAAGTAGAAAATTATATATTTTTACATAAATAATAACAAATTAAACAAAATATCAACCTTTATCACAGTAGGAATAAATTACTTATACAATGAAAGAGTAGAGCATGCGACAAAATGTTTCCATAAGGGCAGTATCTACTAACCATCTCCTCGAGAAGCTTATTGTTCTGCTGAATAGCAGAGTTTCTTTCTTCTGTCAATCTTGAAATCAAAGCAGATGTCTACACATAGGATAAAAGAAATTAATGAGGCATTATTCGTGTCAGTACAAGGCAAGCGAAAGATACTTTGCTGGCCAATATGGCTGAGGAGTGAACAGTGTTAAATGTTGAAAAGGACAACACATTAACTGCTTTGTAATGAAAGCCTAGTGCCATAAAACAAATAATCAATGTCGAAAAAAAAAATGTTCCACTCTGTAACAGGTAATTTATGTGCATTTGCACGTAGAGCAAAAATAATTGCTACAGAGAGTAGAAAGGACCAATTTCAAAACAAAATGACGAATTGACAACAAATAAGGTGTCAACTGAAATGAACTTTTGAACTTATACGTAGTTGGGCTTGACCAATGATCCCTTAACATATAACAAACCACTGTGCAAATATCCAGCATTACAATGAGAAGTACATACTGCAATTACAAGTATCAATCAGCACAACAACATCTACTCCATCTTGCTTGTATCAGTATTACTTTGTTTTCTACGTTACAGGTGCCAAGCAAACTTTACCAAGCTCAGGTCTCATTGAAATTTTAATTGTAATCATTGACTGTAAAAGACATTTATATTTAAAGCTGTAAAACAAATTGGCAAGTTTTATTGGGGTACTGTTGACCATCAGATCCATGCCATGTTTTTGTTGAAATAGTCAAGTCTCAAAGGCACTTGATATTTACTTCAATAGAAGATTGAAATGCAATGTTTGCTAAGAGATCACTGAAACCTATTTACATAAGTACTGTTGTTTCCTTTACTTCTATGTAAAGTTACAAGTGAACATAGAAAACTTATTTGGAGTGACTCACCTCAGAATCAGATGTTACATCTTCTGCATCCTTGTGTGCTCTTGTAGCCTGGAAAAATAACTACTACTCAGTTTAACTCGTCTTTGAAAAGAGCAGAATGGGGAAGTGCATATAAAAGTTAAGGTACTAACAGATAGCAATGGTGGCTCATCAGATTCCCGAGTTGTCTGCGTCTAAAAACAATCAGTCATATCCACACGAATTAAAGAAAAACAAGGAAATGAAACAATGCATAATCAGACATCTCACATCTTGATAATTCAAGTTGCCCCCTTCTGATAATGAAGCCCGAGGAGACGAGCCTTCTTCAGATCCCTCACGCACGGGGGATGGTGGTCGTGGTGGTTGGACATAGACAACCTTCAACTTCCTCTCATCCACCACATTACCTGATCCTTTGTTAAACTAGAAAAGGTACACATGTTGGCATCATAGGAACTAGGAAGTTAGAAACAAACATCAAGCAACATAATCAAGAATCAACCATCTGATAGACATTAGAACATGAACTACCATCTCTCCAGTGACATCCTTGGTTGTTGTGCCTTCAGTCACCACAACGCTCTGCACTAGAAACTTGTCTTTGCACTGCATGTCTGCTGGTGCCTCCCGTTGGGCTTGCATTGTTACTAAGGAAATGCAGAGAACTGTCAATTTTTTGCACACAGATAACAGGACGAGGAAAATATCCCAACGTTTTGCATGAAGGAGATGAGAATTGAGCATAACCGATGACATCGCTGGTGGACCGTGGCGGCACAATGCCACTGTTCGGCCTGACGCAGTACTTCTTTGGGCTAGTTGTCTTGACCTAAGGAGCACAACATTTCACCAAATTTAGCGTTAGCGCGTCAAATCTCATTAACTTTTTTTCTTTTTTTTTTTTTGCAGAATTCCCAAGCTCTATGCTCCGTGAAACCAAATTGCTGAATTTCTTCGTGGGGGAAAAAGATTCCAGTTACCTTAAAGGCGATGTAGTCATCTGTTCTGTTCGTCAGCTGCATGGAGCATGAGATCTGCTTCTTCGTCTCGACTGCTCAATCCAAACAGCAAAAGAATCAGCAAAAACAAACAAAACCCCAGCGGCATGTGGCTCCGGAATTTCACAAGCAGGGAATTTCCGGCGAGGAAACCGTACAGGAGAACCGGAGCTCGAGCGGCTCGATCCCGAGCAACTCCTTGGAGTCGGAGCCCATCTGCCGCCAGCCAACCCACTCGAACCGAAGAGGGGAATGCTCGCTCGAACTCGAGATGCGCTTGATCCGGAGCGGGGAGCTAGTAGTAGCTAGGGTTTGGGTTTGGGGGAGTGAGTGAGTGATGAGTGGGTTTCCGTGCTTGCTTGCCTGGAGGAGCGGACGGGAATTTTGGAGTCGCGGATGGGAAGAGCACGAGGGAATGTCGGGTTGGTGTGTGATGGTGTCGCCCCCGGTCGGGTGGGTCTTTTGGTGGGGGAGACGAGCACGAGCACGGCTGCGCGAGGTGGATCGGAAATTCGGAAGACGAGCAAAAGCCTAGTGTAGTAATTAACTACACTACACATTCCTTTTTCTGGAAAAGGCCACATGTTTGTTTGGTTAAGGCAATGGTAGATTTGAGAAAAACAAAGAAAGAAAAGTAGTGCTCACGTGGCTCCTTTTTTCTTTCTGACAGTTGGGGTGTTCTTCAATCTTCATTTCAGATTCAGATTTGATGATTGCAGGCAGAGCGTCACATTTCGGGACGAGGATTTCAACTCCCCATCAAGTGGGTGAACAGACACGGTAACTTACATCCGTGTGTTTGGGTGATTTGGTGTTATATCCGTGTCGGATTGGCTTGAAAACATAAGCAGTGTTTAATTTCCCCCAAATTCCTAACTTTCCATCACATCACATCACATCGAAAACTTTCCTACACACATAAATTACCAATTTTTTCTCCAAACTATCAATTTTCTCTCAACTTCCCAACTTTTCCACCATCTAAACACAACCACAGTGACACACATCGCTTGTCAAACGTTTGCTTGGTTTGTAGTACTAGGAGTATCAAGTAGTACATGAATACCACCAGGCGCTTTGTGAAAAAAAGTTTGAAACAGAAAATAGCATATGTGCAATGCAATTCAGCCTTCACCGAGGAAATGTAAAGACATATATTTCTGTATTATAAAAAAAAACTTTGTATGTACAAGAGTGATTACACACAGTCTGATAATTGTTCGTCTATACGATCTACTGAACTAGTTGATGAAGAAGGCACCTGTGAGCAACCCCAGACGGTGCCAGGAGTAGCATCAGAATAGCATTTCGTGCTGCAGATGGCAGAGGCATGAGCAAAACATGTAAACCTGAACATTTTTTTCTTGTCCGAATTTACTTATTATCATCACTTGCTCCGTACCTTGAAGTGCTTGCAAATTTGAGTCCAGCAAACCAAGCCACGCGCATCAGTTGGATGCCTAGAACCAGAACCCACCATGACACCAAACCACGAAGACTTTGCACCATCCATCCAGGCGCAGTGATCTCATCGGCTAACTGAAGACCCCTCATCAGCTGTAGAACTCGGTAACCCTCATAAACCACAGGGGCCACCAACCAAACTGGCGATTTCCAGTGCCAAGTAAGCATCTCAGTCAAAACTTGTACAGAAAGGAGCAAGAGATATGGTCCAAGCAGCACTGCAAACGGAATGAATGGTATATGTGGCTGCAGAGTACCCTTATGAGATGCGAAAAACAGGGCCAAAGGAACAAGAAAGCCTACTATGCTGGCAGCCAGATTCCAGAACCTGTAAGAAGTTGGGATCTGCTTTATCAGTTCGGATGAATTGGCCTCCGGACGCCCACAAGCATCAGCCATAAGGAAAAACAGCATTGCTCCCATGTTAAAAATGAAGTCAAGTCCCACTAGGGATAGAAGGCCGGCAATGTTGGGACCAAGAAACACTGAAGACAATGGTAGCCATAAAGTTGGAACTATACTCGTAACCAACAGAATTGAAGGCCCTAAAAGCCAAATTGGCAGTTTAAAAGTTGTCAGCTGCATGGAAGGTTCTTTTATCACCTCCACAAAATCCTGGTCACTCTGGAGGATCGGAATTTCTGGTGCTTCTTCTGTATCAATAGGTTCAACAACTTCAGTTCCCTTAATAATGTTGGCACCATCTTCTGCAGAGGCATATGGAAGGGAGGCCTCCCAAGACAAATTTTGAGTGCATCGCAAGACAATATTTTCAAAATGGCCAGAGTGTAGAGGTTTCCAATAAAGAGATTTAGGCAATCTGATTTGTCCATTCTCATGAATCTGTCTCCTGTTCCTAATATGTGCTTTGCTTAATTTTATCTGTGAACAAATTAAAGAGGCCATGGTACAGGATGACATCTGTGCCTTCAACACTGCAAAGGGAACAAAACAAACTAGTTATCAAGTGCCTCAACTATGGTACTATACATAGCATATTGGTAAACAAAAACTCAACAGTATCACGAAAAAGACAGAAACAATGGAATGTTATCCAGTATGATATCAGGTTAACAACAACGAAACAAAAGACGGCATATAGATCTACAATTGGCTTAGTTTTGTTTTTCCCATATAACACAGCCATTTGACGGATAGCTCTGAACCAAAGATATCAATCAATCCAAGTGATGAATACCATATGTATGAAAGAGTTACATCACAGAGACTAGTTGCGCAACAAAGAAGACAATACAATAGGAACTCAAGGATCAGTTAACTTCACTAAGTGTTTTATGATACTCATTCAACTGAGTTTCAAGAATCAAGATCACAACTCCATGTACATCTATTTGTGTGTTTTCTGCTCTTTGCCACTTGTTTATAATGGAACACAGCTGGCTTGGCTGAAACAGGAATCAGCTGAGGTTTGTGTGTTTGAATCTTCTAAATGTTTTTTTTCCTCCGGAGAATCTGGAAAGAACGAAATGGCCGGGTGTTCAACCAGCAACGCAGGACCTGGGTTGAAGTGGCAAGGGGAATGGCGGAGGAGAAGACACTTTGGCGTCAAGCAAACTCGGCTATCCCCTCCCTGGTTCTCCGGAGGGATCAAGGTCGCCAAAACTAGTGCAAGATTTAGGCTAATGAATGTTGTGTTTCATTCCGGTTTCAGTCCCCTGCTGTTTTTGTATTTCCATGTAAATAACTTTTATTTCTCTTAATACAAAAATGTGCTCCTTGCGTATTCCCGAAAAAATATAATGGAACACAGCTTTCCAAATGCTTTGCAATTATGTATTTCTGTGGTCACACTCATCCTAACTTCAAGCTACACCTAGCAAAAGTTTGCATATTATATATTACGGAACTACTTCCTCTGTCCCAAACTATAGCTGGTCAAAACATACAGAAAACTAAGGGAGTACATGGCATGAATAGATGTAAAAAGAAACGTACAAAACTGTATTTTGCATCGAACTAGACATGGTCATTGTGAGGCACAATCAGGTAAAAACGATCATTGCGGTTGAAATCCTTAGTGCTAAGAGCCTAAGACTAGGAAAATATTAAAGGGCCAACCAAAGATACAGTGAGCATAATTGAGAATTAAGCTTCGCTCTGAATGTCAGACAAATCACAGAAGGATGATAACAACATAATTGCCATAATAACAGACTATCCGGTTAGTACATCAAGCAATACTGACCACCCAAATCTACGACCAATAGAAGTGCGCAAGAGTTCAAATTCCTTAGCCAAATCATCAGCTGGTTAAAAAAATATTTCTCTAAAATCCAAACATATTTACCACAAGCAAATCCTTAACTGTCCATTTTATCAAACGAGGCTTTGCCCTTATCGAAGGCAAGTTGATTTCCGCCCCTCCATGGACGATTCCTGCTGAAAATATAACCGCGTATGCAAACACGCGGAATACAGATATCATTTGGAAACATCGGCAAAACCTTGCACACACCTAAGCCTCCAATTTGATCAGATCCAGAGGTACTAAAGAGAAACACAAGGTTTCAAGCACTACTCCAATTCCGCTAAGGCACGCATATGCGTATGAGCGAGGAATAGGCAGGAGAGAGCGAGAGCTAACCGGATTGGACTTCCCTCGGCCTCTCGCCGGCGGGAGCCCGGAGTCTCTGAACGTGTCGTCGTCGCAGCGCCGGAGTCCCGGACGCAGGTCGCGGCTGCCCCCTGAACCTGCACTGCAGCTTCATCTAAGGGGGAAGACGGAGGAGAGGTAACTGGCCCAATAAGCAACAATGAGATTTGATGGGCCGTGTGGGATACGGAATTTCACCTGTGGGCTTTGAACCTTTTTTGGTAGAGAATCTATGGGCTTGAAGCCTTGAACTGTACAATAGTGTTTGTCTCTCTCTCTCTCTTTTTTTCAAAAATATGTGTATTTCTTCTTCTTCTACTACTACTTTTTCAGTTTTCTCTTTTTTTGAAAGAGGGAGGTAGAGTGTTTGCCTAGTTGTTCACTTTCAGCCTTGTATGGTGTTGCTACTTGACATGATTTTGCCTAGTGTTTCCCCCCAACAATTCATAGGTTACGGATGCATTGTGCGGAGAAATAAAGATAAGAGAGCCCAAGTTGCAAAAATAAAAAAGACTAATAACAAGACAAGGGACCAATCAAGCAAGCAAACAAAGATGGGTAGAACTCTCACCGAGCCCTCGATCTCAATCCTCACCACCACCAGAAAATCACTTCTGGCGCAGAGGACAAACGCATCCCAGCCAAGTACCCGCCACGGCCGCTTTATCCCAAACCAAACCACACACGCCGCGTCCGCTTCTCACTTCCCAAGCCAGAGGGCGCCCTCTCTCCCTCCCATGCACGCGCGCTCTCCCACTGAGCCTTCCAAGCCACCGCAGCCGCAGCCATGAGCGCCGGCGACACGCTCGACAAGCTCGTGGTCTTCCTCGCGAAGCGCGATGGCATCGACAAGCTGGTCAAGACGTTCCAGTACGTGTCCAAGCTCGCGCACTGGGCGGCGGAGTCGTCCAGCCCGGGCCTCGCCGGGCGCGCCAAGAACTGGGAGACGTCCGCGGGGCTCAGCCGCAAGGCCTTCCGCACGGGCCGCTTCCTCACGGGGCTCAACGGGCTGCGCCGCGCGCCGGGGGAGTTCGGCGCGCTCGCCGTGCTCGCCAACGCCGGCGAGATGGTCTACTTCTTCTTCGACCACTTCACGTGGCTCTCCCGCGTCGGCGTCCTCGACGCCTGGCTCGCGCGACGCATGAGCTTCATCTCCGCCTTCGGCGAGTCCGTCGGCTACGTGTTCTTCATCGCCATGGACCTCATCATGATCAGGAGGGGCCTCAGGCAGGAGAGGAAGCTGCTCAGGGAGGGCGGGAAGGACAAGGACAAGGAGGTGAAGAAGATCCGGATGGACAGGGTGATGCGGCTCATGGCGACGGCCGCCAACGTCGCCGACCTCGTCATCGGCATCGCGGACATCGAGCCCAACCCGTTCTGCAACCACGCTGTCACGTTGGGGATCAGTGGGCTCGTCTCGGCGTGGGCCGGCTGGTACAGGAACTGGCCGTCGTGAGCTGTTCCAACTCTATTTTTCGCACGCTCTTCGGCCTTGTTACATCATAATGATTTTGCCAGGCACTGAACTCTGCTTCTGTAGCAAATTTTACAGTCGAGATACCGTTGGTGTATAGTCGCATAGATCGACGCATACTGTACTGAACAGCTCACTGGCAATCCCAACCAATCTTTCATGATCGATGAGTCTGTTCTTAAGATCAATCGTCAATTCCTCATACAGTACGTACTACTTTACTCAAGGGGTTGATTGGATTTGGAAACCGACACTTGAGGCACATCGGCACATGAAAGAAGAGAACGTAGCAATCTTCCGTTTATTTCAACCAAGTTCTCTTTTTTCTTCGTCTCTCTCTTCAGTCTGAACATATTTTCGGGGAAAATGCAGCCATCGTCGTCGCAGAACACATGGAGACCAATAGCTAGCTTGGGCGCCTGGCTGAAATAATCTGTACATGACAGCAATTCCGATATCTAATAAGATTGAAAATATTGCCAAATTCGTTTGGAGTACAGTAAAATGTGTGTTTGATTGTGAAATGCCAAATGGGATGCAGAATTTAATGGGACCTTGGATGAAGAAATTTACCCAAAAGACAATAAAGCTTGTTAAATATGTGATTCGAATTTTAGATCTGCAATGTATTTGGATAAGTTTTCTAATAGAACTTAACTATTAGGATTAGTTTGGATACGACTACGGATCGGGCGCCCGATAACTGGCTAAAAAATCGTGCGCTCCTCAACACACGCACACTCCACTCCACTCCTTTACATGTAAATTGGTCAGACCCCTTTCTCTCACGTTGACCCTTCACATAGCAGTGTTGTAGGAGCATGCATGAGATTTCTGTAGGGTTAGTTAGGTTGTTTTAAGTCTTTTTAGCAAATTTGAAACTATTTTTTTCACCTAAATTACTTCTTCAATTTATAATTCGATTTCACTGTTATATTCGTTGTAATTAAATCTTTACAACAAGATCAGACATGATTATATTCCAACGGAAAAAAAATATTTAGCTCTTTTTTCAATAGATATTTTGGGCCTGTTTGGCACAGCTCCAGCTCCACCCCTCCTGGTAGGGGTGAAAACGGTAAGGAATTTTTCCGGATTCCGTACCTATTTTCAGAAACGGAATCAGCCGGTCGGAAAATTTTCAGAATTTCTCAGAAACGGAATCGAAAACGGAAATATTTTCTCGGAAACGGAATCAAATATGATAATCGCAGTTTGCGTCGGAACTCGGAATCGGTCGGAAACATTCCGGAAAATTTGTCGAAATTTCCGAAGTTAAAAAGGCCCATCCAATCAATAGTCCATAATCCCTCCCCAAGTCCCCAGCCGGCCCAACCCAAGCTGCTAACCCAAGAGAAGAGAGTGGAGAGAGAGAAGTCAGACAGATCGGGAGGGAGGCCGGGAGCGGCGCATCGCCATCCAGAGGCGGCGGCGGAGCGGCGCATCCAGAGCGCGCCACCACCCACCGCCGGCCTGCCGTCCTCGCTTCCTTGGCTCCCCGCGACCTCGCCCCCGCCGTCTCGCATCTCGCGCCGCCCTTCCTCTTCGCTCCGTCCTCGCCCCCACCATCTCGCGGCGCCGTCCCGCCGCCTCTCGCCTTTTCGCCGCTGCCACCACCACCGACGAGGCGACGACGACGCCACAGCCACACCACCGACGCCGGCCATACCGACGACGACGCGACATCGACGACGAGACCACAGGCCACAGCCACACCACACCGACGACATCTCAAGCCCCACTGGCTTCCTCACCGCCATCGATGCCGAGCCGACGCCAACGCCTCCAGCAGCCTAGCGGCAACAGTAAGCAGGTGTTCCTCAACCTCCAGCTCTATCTATCACTCTTTGTTAGTTGTTACTGTGTAAATGATTGATTTGTTTGTACTAAGGAGCTTGGTTATACTGTGTAAATGATTGATTTGTTTGTACTAAGGAGCTTGGTTATACTGTGTAAATGAATGATATCTTCTGTTAATTTTGTAGAAGAGAACTATGTAGTATGTACTGATTATGGAGTGAAAGCACTGAATAATAGGCTATATATACTCTATACATTATTATACCATAGTATCTTGCTATAATTTTTTTTAGAATATTTGTTATGCAAATTATATGAAGTTATAGAAGAATATGTTTTTGCTGTGAGGCTCAGTTTGAGGGGTTTATGTATTCTGATGAATTTTCGTTACCGTATCCGCGGCGGTTCGTTTTCGCTCCGTTTTCGGTTTCAATAATATTCGTTTCCGTTTTCGGTTTCAATAATATTCGTTTCCGTTTTCGTTTTTGGGGTTTCCGATTTCGATTCCGATTCCAAAAAAAAATATGAAAACGAAAACGATAAAGGTTGTTTCCGTACGTTTCCGTACCGTTTTCACCCCTACCTCCTAGAGTTGGAGCTCAGCCAAACAGTTTCAACTCCACCAAAACTAGGAGTGGAGCTGGGTGGAGCTCTCTTACAAAATGAACTAGAGGGCAGCTCCACAACTCCACTCCAGACCCAACTCCTGGAGCTAAATTTAGGAGTTGGAGCTGTACCAAACAGGCCTATATGTTGCACTTGGTTATATTTGAGTGTTTCAGGTAGTATTTTAGGATGATTCACTAGTTGATCTTAAAATGCTGCAGGTGGTGTTCTTCGAATGCTTCATCAAATATTTTATGATGTTTTAGTAGTCACAAGTTAATGTTTCCTTACATGATATAATAATGTTTCAACATTTTCAAGTATTTGTAAAAAAAAATTGTGTTTCATATGATTTATATCGATGTTTCATTACATGATAGAAAAATTTTTAGTGGAGCGGTTGTCAGGGTTGCAATAACAAATTATGAATGCTGTATCTCCTTGAAACATTTTAAAACATTTTATACATAGAACTAGAACATTTGACCAAGTAATGAAACAATTTATTTTAAGTGTTGCAACATTATTTGATTTTTTATCAAAATAGAAACAAGTAACATCTGGTTATAAAGATTTAGTTGTGACGAACACAACGGTGTAATCAAATCGTAGAATGGATAATTAGTTTAGAAGAAAAAATATTTGAAGAAGTGGGAGGAAATTTCCAATCGGACATCCGATCCTCTCTCAAAAAACCGGACGGTCAAATGTTTCAGTTAACCGCTTGTGAAACATTAAGTTATACATGGTGAAAAAAAAATCAGTCATTAAAACATTTAAAAAGTGTGTGAAACACAGTGAAAACACACCTTGAAACATATTGTTATCGTGTATGAAACATCAAATATTAACATATTGAAACTAAATATCAAATATGAACAGATTGAAACATATGTTTTTCTTTCATCAAAACATAATCATGTGATATCTTATTTTAAATATTTAATTACAATAAATAGAATGGTGTGATCAGATCGTAGATCGAATAAGTAGTTCAGGAGAAAAATCATTTTAAAGATAGCTAAATACATGCATGCATGCATGCAAGGAGTGGAGAGAGATAGAGTATGTGCAAGTAGTTAAATGAATTTTGTGAAACATAGCAAAAGCACATGATGAAACATGTCACTATCACGTATGAAACATTGAGTTATAACGGTTTGAAACATATATTCTTCTTTTATCAGAATATAATTATGCAATATCTTATTGTAAAGATTTAATTATAATAAATATAACAGTGTGATCGGATCGTAAATCGGACAAATGGTTTAAGAGAAAAAAAACATTTAAAGTGAGGAGAAGAAAGAAGAGAAACTACCTAGCACTTATCTGCGTGCACATTATAGTAAGAGGAGAGCGCCCGATTTTTCTCTCCAAATCGGCATGCCGATCGTAAGCATTTTCCGATTAGTTTCCTAGTATGACTCTTAAGTCTTTCCCCACTAGTACTCCTAGATCTTTGCTATATATATCCCTTGTAAGCCGGATGGGGAGGGTGCGACAGTCCAATGTATCCACTACGCTTGTAATCAACTCCTTAATAGTGATCGCTACCGGTCGGTACCGTGGTTTTTTCTCGAAAGGGTTTTCCCCATAAAAATTATATCTCTGTTGTGCATTTATTTTTATAACAAAGCTAGTGGCTGTTGGTATTGCGGCTGCTTTATGGGCAATTTGGAAAATGGCCTGCTTTGAGAATATTCTTCCTAATGATCTCGTAGATGTAATCTTTCAGGTAGCTCATTGTATCTTTGATTGGGCAATTTTACAAAACAAGGAGGAAGAAACAAGAAGACTGCAGGAGGGGGGCAGACTGCTAAAACGAGTGGTAAATGAGGTTTATAGCACCAGGCATGGTTGGGGCTCCAAGACAGGAAGATAACCATGGTGGTAAATGAGTCGAGCAATTTCTTAGCGCAGCTTTGATTAACCCTGGGGATTTTCCTTGTGGGAGAAATTAAAACTTTGTAGCCAACCTGAACACTGCCACAGTGCCACCGAGCACCTGGTGTGCAAGTATGTCTTATTCTTTTTGTTAGCCTCTCTTCTTACTTTCTTAGCCATGGTGGGATGGCGCGCCTGGTGAGCGAAGAAAGTTGATCTGCTGCCTAGAACCGGATACTATAATTCTATCATTCCTCTTAATGGAAATGGGGGAGCTCCTGCTCTCCTAGTTCACAAAAAAAAAGAAGAACAAGAAAAAAAATTGCAAAATATACTTATTTTTTTTCTGTAATAAAAAATTGCAAAATATACTTATTTTTTTCTGTAATTTACGTTTATATACCTGCATGGGAAGGATTTGTATAAATAAACCCATCCTGCGGGGTGAAAACGCATGACCGCGATGATCTCGTAGCTCCAAAACGCGGGACCAACGGCCCACGGGATGGTCGCATGGCACTGCAACGGTCCCGCAGCCAGCGATTTAATACTGTTCACGCGGTAGTCACGCGGTTCCATTGTGCGGAATCAACCCATGAACAGTATCAAAACAGTAATTATTTTTTGGTTCCATTGATTTTTAAATTATTTTTCGCAATTCTACATGGTGATTAGAGATGGCAACGGTGAATTCACCGTCGGGGGTCACATCCGCGTCCCCGTCCCCACGGTGATAAAATTTCACCGTCCTCGCCCCCGTCAACCATAACGGGGCTACATTTTCTCCAGCCTCGATCCCCACGCGGTGAATTTCCCCCACGGTTACCCCCGTCCTGCGGTAGTCAGCACTCAGCAGCCGGCAGAGAAACGGTGGCAGCGGACAGCATACTGGCGACGAAGGGCGTTGGCGACGGACGGTGTGCTAGCGACGGAGGGCGCTGGTGGAGGATGGCGGATGGACAGCGCGACGACGACGGCGGGCTCCGGGCGGCGGCTTCGAGCGGTGCGATGGCGGTAGCTTCGAGCGGCATGACGGCTACAAGCGCGCGCCTGCGTCGACGACTGGGACAGAGGGCGCTGGTGACGGATGGCAGACGAACAGCGCGACGATGACAGCGGGCTCCGGGCGGGGCGACGGCGGCGACGGCTTCGAGCAGCGGCTTCGGGCGATGCGACGGCTGCAGACGTGCGCCCGCGTCGACAGCTGGGGCTAGACAGAGCCCGCGCAATAGGAGGTGGCGGCGCGCGCGCGCCTGGTGTGGAGTTTGTGGAAGTGTGGATCTGGAAGATGTGGAGGTTGACTAGTTGATTAGGGTTAGATGTACATATACATGTTAATTGGGCTTCAATATTATGGGTCGAAACGTCTGAAGAAGTGTCACCGCGGGAGGCGGGGACGGCGAATGGTTCACCGTCCTCACCGATGGTGATTAGTTTGGGACCATTTGATTCCCCATGGAGAATAGATATTAACCATCCCCTAATATGTGAATTCACCGTAGGGAATCAGTGATCGGGTCCCCATTGCCATCTCTAATGGTGATGGAACAAAAATGCCCCAAACGCGCTAGGAGCGGCCATGGACGAGGACCACAACCCACTGGCTGGAGCAGCAGTGACAGCTGTCACACCCTAACAATAGCTAAATTATAAATTGTGGTGAAAAAGAAAATTTCAGAAATTATTTAATAATGAAAGTAAGTGTTTGAATAAAATCTATAAAAAATTCGAACATTAAATTGAGCTAGATAAAAATTTATTAAATACTTTGAGTATCCTAAGTATTTTCAGGATTTTTTTGGAATTATTTGAGTATGGTAAGTATTTTTAATAAATGAAATAACATGTCAGTAATTACTTGAAATAGAAAATCAACTAAAATTCCTTCCCTGAGTTTTGGAACGAATCCATCCCACTAATCTCCTCTCTCCTTCCTCAGCCCGCAGCCCGCGCCCGTCTTTCTCGTCCGAAGTCCTCTGTGCGTCCCTCTTCCTTCATTCTCCTGACGCCTAGGGCCCACCCGGCTACAGTGCCGTGACTGCCGTCTTCCTCCCCCAGCCGCCTCTCCCGTGCGGCCGTGCCCGTGCACATCAACGCCGCCACCTCCACCAAATTCGGCCTCGTCGTTGCTCCGCGGAAACGGAATTCCCTCGATCACCTCTACGTTCGCCACAAGAAAGCCCCCAACAAATTCGCGCTGGATTTCGGCCCCATTCTTATCCCGATGAACTCGGGAACCCTTATTTCCCACCGCCGAAACCCCAAATCCGCATGGATCTCTTCCTCCTCCGCCTATATAAATGATGCCCGGGTCTCCTCTTCGGTTTCCCCTCCTGTCCCCGAGCCGCCGTGGCCTAGCCACCTCTTCCCGCGAGTTTCCTCTCTGTCCGCCACCGCCGCCAACTCCGGCCGCGTCGCGCCGCCTCTCTGGTCGACGCCGCCTTGCGCCGTTGCCTCCTTCGGCTCCACAAGGGCGAGGGCTACCTCGGCCGCCGGTTCGCTTGTACCGAAGACCGCAGGAAGCTGCTCGCTGATGCGAACCCGAGCGCCTCTGCCTCCCATCGACCTCCAGCCGTGACCCACCGTTGTTCCCCCCATCGCCATCCTCGGCATCGCCAGCGCCGAGGAGAAGCCCGTCTACCCCTCCGTTGCCGCCGCCCGTCGTCGCCAGAAAGCCGCCGACCCGAGCTCGCAGCCGGCCGTCTCCGTTCACCGTCTGTCGTCTTGTAAGTACTGGTAAGGATGGCCTCGGTCTCCTCTTCCTCCCCGTGCTCTCGGTTTCCGCCGCCGTTTGCCGTCGTGGTTGTCGTACCATGCCGTCGACGTCTATCCCGCGTGCGTCCACGTCAGCTGACACCTTAGGCCATCGCCAACGCAGGGAGCACCCCCAACATCCACGTGAGCAAAAGTGAATAAAGACCCGGCTAGGGATATGCCTCATAGTGTAAGCCATGCCTCCATCTTATTTTTGCAATTCAATACCTATCTGTCGGTCACATTTTGCATTAAACCCTTAGATTAGTTTTATTCGCATATAAGTCCAATATTTGCAGTATACCCCCTAAAAATCACAAACATATATAAACACCGACCCCTCCTCTCATCACCATATCTCTCTGTGCCTCCTTTCTCTCCACCTCTCCCTTCCCCGGCGCTCTCCTCCCCGGCGGCGGCGGTGTCGGATGGAGGCGGCAACGGCGTATCAAGCGGCGGCGGGGGCGGATCGATGCAGCGGCGCCGGATCGAGTGGCAACGGCGACGGATGGAGGCGTCGGTGGCAGATTGGGCCGCGGCGGCGCCATCTTCGTCCTTGGCGCGAGAGGTAGTTGTCCGCAGCGTCCGGGGTGACGTTACGGGACGAGGCCTCTCAACATGGCTCCTCGCCCGTTCCTCGCCCCACTCTGACAAATCCACGCAAACCTCTGCTGGGGTCGCGCACCTCTGCTGAGGTGTGGTCCCGTCTGAGCTGGCGGGAATATTCCCCTCGGGCGGGGTGAGACCACGCTCCACGCTGGAGCGTAGGCCATGGCCTTATTGTATGTCACACCTCTATCCGCATGGCATCCACCTCAAAACCTAGACCAGAACTAATCTCGTCCGTTGGATCTTGGTCAACTCGATCTGAGCCGTCCATCCCGTGGACCCGTGGACCACCTTTGTGGAGTTGGGTCATGGTAGACCCGGTCTACCGCTTGTCTCTATGACAAGTGGGTCCCACTCGTCCCCAGTCCTTTCACTCTTCTATCCTAGTGCTGATGTCATATTCCTCCTTTTCAGTTATAAAATAATTAAATATGATGCAATAAATCATTTAGGTTGTTTTCTTTATAGGTTTTAATCAATTAAAACTTCATTAATTCATAACTAATTCATACAAACTTGGAATGAGGTCGTTCAAGTCTCGTAATTCATATAAATTCAATCTCTACCCATTTATGAACTTTAATTGTATTGTTTATTTGGTTTTTATTAGTGTTTTTCCTCATTTTGTGTTCCAGGTTTAGTTTTCTGTCGTTTTGGAGGACCGTTCGTTCGTTGGATAAGCTCCTGAAGATGGATTGAAGATGTTTGATTGCAAGGCAAGTCATACAGATCCCAAACATAATTCCTCTGAGCATGTTGAACCTATGTTTAAATTCTCTATTTCATTCAAATATACATTTATTTTCAAATGTCATTAGCTGTTGTGAGCCTTTTCCTTATATTATGGCCGAAGATGACTTTATTATTCTATGGGTTATTATTTGACTAGCTTGGGCGTTATATTAGATATTTGATATAATTGCTTAGCCATGTTTAGAAACATTAGCATAGTATTGGCATAACTAATGTTTCACTATTACTTAATGATGAATATTTAGTGATAGCTCATAATGGTTAATCGTGATTGGTTAATTAATTAATTTGCCAACTAAAACCTGATAATGGTGGGTTATGAGTACATGGTTTTGAAGGTCGTACTCATGATAATTAAGAACCGGTTGGCGAGCTACTGTTGTGAAGCATTAACCGTACTAACCATAAGCCAGCATGGGCAGCAACTGGATGCGATGTATAGCATGGTTCATTGTGGAGTGCTAGACTGAGAAGTGGCGGAGATAATCCCATGGGGGTCGCTGGGGAGTCTATACCTTGCTCTAAAGGGGGTGACTATGATCTGGGAATGGTGCATTGCTTTGAATTGCTTTATGCGAGGTGCCTTGTCATAGTCCCGTTTCGAGGTACCATGGTGGTACTGAGGGCATGTTAACATGTTATGGGGTTGTGTCTTGTGGGTACAGTGGTACACCTCTGGCCATATTAAAATATTCGAATAGCCGTGCCCGCGGTCATGGACGAGCATAGCAATTTTTTTGTGATAAATGATGATACTTTGGTTTAGCTCCTGGTTTGGAATGGTTAATTCCTGGTTTGAAGATTGGGTCTGTTCAACCGGGCATGGTTGTACAGATATGGTTGGGCCTATGCAACGAGTATGTTGTATAGTGTTGCATTAATACTGTTTAATTAATTACTCTACAATTTTACAAATTCACAACTCTTTGCCATATGCTGTTTTCGCAAATGAACCCAACATTATGCCATCCTATGTTATCCCTGTGCACTTACATACTTGTTGTGTAAAACTATTCGAATAGCCGTGCCCGCGGTCATGGACGAGCATAGCAATTTTTTTGTGATAAATGATGATACTTTGGTTTAGCTCCTGGTTTGAAATGGTTAATTCCTGGTTTGAAGATTGGGTCTGTTCAACCGGGCATGGTTGTACAGATATGGTTGGGCCTATGCAACGAGTATGTTGTATAGTGTTGCATTAATACTGTTTAATTAATTACTCTACTATTTTACAAATTCACAACTCTTTGCCATATGCTGCTTTCGCAAATGAACCCAACATTATGCCATCCTATGTTATCCCTGTGCACTTGCATACTTGTTGTGTGGCTTGCGGATTATTCCATATAATCGCCTTGCAATAATCATCAAATCTCAGTTGGAGAAAAAGGATCCATAAGGAGAAGATCTTTGGCTTATATCCCAATTGAGCTACCTGTGGGAGTGGAGCTGAAGCTTTGCTAGATTTTCTTTTCCGCTGCAGTTTTCTTCGTGGTGAGGACTAAGTGTCTCTTATGTAAGTTTTTCCGCTGCAGTTTTCTTCGTGGTGATGACTAAGTGTCTCTTATGTAAGTATTTAAGCGCTTTAGTTATTATGATGAATCTGCATTTTAAATTGTCAGTTTGTGTACTTTGGCTGATTTCTGGACGAGGGTTTAATGCACAAATTAGTTCGGAAATTACTTGTGAATTTTCGGGCGTGACAATGGCGATGGCAGAGGGTAGCTCGTGCTCGTGTTGCTTGATGATGTGCGCGGTCGTGATGTGGCGGCGGTCTGTGAAGAGGAAGCTGGACGAGAAGGGGGTGAGGGAAGGGAAGGGATAGAAGGGGGCGGTGATGCTGGTGCGGTTGGAGGCAGAGGAGGAGGCGGTGGCGCTGCGGGGCGGTGGTGCTGCATGGGTGGAAGCATTGCAAGATTGTTGCATCACCTGACGATCAGGAGCTTCTAGCACCGCTCAAGCCCACACCACATCAGCGTCCAGTGGCCGCCCCCGTGCCACGGCATCCCACTAGCCGATGGCAACGAAGCCGATGAGGTAGGGCATTTTGGTATCACACTCTTCCACGTGGCTGTGGCGTGTTCTGCCATGCCTATGCATGTGATGTGGTACGGTTATTTGGTAACGCAAGTATTCTCGACGTGGTCCAAATTCAGATGTGACAATAAAATCTAATAGGATCTATTATTAAAATATTATATATTCAAAAGGTTTAGAAAATATTAAAAAATCACGCCGTTCGGTTGACGGTTGCAGCGAGCAGGGGGCGGAAGCCAGAGCGAACTCAGGCCGACGCAAGGGCGAGCAGGGGGTCGACGGCCGGCAGAAGAGCGAGCACAGGCTAGCACAAGGGGCGAGCAGGTAGGCGGCAAGCGATTGACGGGTGCGGCGAGCAGGGAGGCGGCGGCCGGTCGACAAACGAGCACAGGTTGGCTCACGCAGCGAGTAGGTGGCGGCGAGGATAGGACAGCTAGATTCGGCGCACAAGTTTGCATCGACATCGATTTCCCCTCCCCAACGCCTCCCAAAACTGAGGTATACTCCTAATCTCAGATTATGTTGTTCATGGATGAACTCATTTAGATTTGATGTAATGAGTTGCATGCACCGACCAGTTCAACTCAAAAACTAAATGATGAGAAAAGATGGATAATTCACTTTGTATTCCAATACTCCCCTTCACACGAGACAACCTCAAGTCTCTAGCGTGGAATATTTAGAAGTGGGCTGTATTTTTTTATTTAATTGCATGCCAGTCAGGATTTGAACTCAAGGCCTCTTCTTTGATACCATATTGAGTTACATGCACCGACCAGTTCAATCCAAAAGTCTAAGTTCGATGAGGAAAGAAGGATAATTCACTTTATACAAATTTGATGGCTTTTGGTACTTATCTCTGTCCATGTATGTGTGTGAATGTGGTAGACCTGATTATGCATCAAATTGTAGCATTATAGATGGACAACAGGACAAGGCTTTTGATTATGGGGCTGCATCATATATTTTGTTGTCAATGATGGCTATGGTTTATCGAGTCTAGAAAAAGAACCAAGAGTTGCAAGGAGAGAAGGGATTAGCTGGGCCAATAGAGGAAAGGGATAGGATGAGAATGGACTTATCTTAATAGTAAGATTTGGACAAATGATACAACCTGTGTCAACATGCTTTGGCTTGGTAGAGCATATTTCTTTCATTTCTGTAGACTCTTTAGAAACCTTTGGCTTGCTTGTGGGTATTCCCATTCTCTCACAAGGTTACTTGGGTTGCTAGGTATATTAGTAACACATTTTGAGATTTCGGGAGTGAAATGTCCATATGTGATGGCTGTTGGTGAAAAGGCTTGTATGTTAGCTTTTCTTTTGCTTCTAACCTAAAACATTGAACTATGGAAGAAATCTCATGAAATCTCGAGAGTAACACATTGCACGCTGGACGAAATCTCACGAAACCGCCTTCTTTCTTCCCTTCTCCTGTCCCAAACAGCTGGCTGAACTCTTTTCCTTCTAACTTGGAAGAATGATTCCAGCTTTTGAGATTTAGTGGGTTTGAGATGAAAGTAATCTGTAATAGCCATAAAGTTTGGTCTTTTGTTTACCAATAGTTTATTATCAGTAGTTTAACATTTGTTACGCCTATTGATTTTCCCCCTTTCTTTCATGTATCCTTATTCTATTTCCCATGCGTGCAAAAGGGGGATTTTTGTTCTTGATCTACTCCCTCCGTTCCAAAAAAAAAAAACTTTTGCCTACCTATTTAGGCTATGTCTAGATACATAGCCAGAAGTAATTTTTCTTTTTTGGGGACGGACGGTGTATGCAACTGCCCTTTTTAATTCGTTTATGCTATTCTTCATCTGTGGTTGATTGGAGTTGCAATCGATTTCTAGTAATTTACTGATATGAATAAGAAGCGGTCTAGCGCTAACTTGCAATTCTTTTCTGTTGCCCTTGTGTATTCTTTTTCTGATATTCATTTCATACTTGGTGGATTTGAGACTTTCTGTTGCAATATGCATGGGAGAAGAACATATGCAGAGTCTCTTGTTCGCCAGCTCTACTCTATAAAATACCCATGTTCTTGTTCTGCATGCTGTTACCCTCTTGAAATCCTTTCTGACCTTCACTTTGAGAGATTTAAGTCCCAATCTTGGTAATATGCGTGACTTATTTGGGGAAAAGCCTATGCCGAACCTTGGGCAGCTCTTTTTTTAGGGGTATTTGCAAATGGTCTTTGCTATTATAAATATACGGGGTGAACAATTGTTCCACTCTCACATTTTAAGTTGTGTTTGTCAGATCTAAACCTTGGTCTAAAACCGAGTTGAGTTAACTACTTGTGTTCTATCGGACTACAATAACACTAGGAGAAAAACCCAATTTATTATTTGGTTGCAGGACGTGTTTAACTTTAACCATTTATTTACGTAATCCACTACCTACCCTTTGAAATAGGATGCCCAATATGTCTTAATAGCTGTCAAGTTAGACAATTGCTTTATATTATCAATGTACTTTGTATTTGACAAGATATACTATTTTATATATAAACTAAAACCGAACAGGGCATTGAGTATTGAACTGGAACATAATAACGGGTTAAACTTCCTTGTTTCGTACTAGCGCACAGGAGAGAGCTGGAATTGTAGGACAATGCACAGAAAGGAGGCAATTAAAACTGTGTATCGTGAAGTTGGTGGTGAATGTAAAGATGGATCAACTATTGGTATTGACATGAATTCCCATAACACATCAGTTAAGGAGGTACAATAACTTATCACATTCATAACATTCCTCTTCTGTTTTCTTTTCCTAATTCCTACATATCTCTTGATAAACTGATTCTCTTTCTCTCTCTCTCTCTCTCTCTCTCTCTCACACACACACACACACACACATTCATAAAAAAACAGTGCTTGAGCAAAACAGAGGTTGTGACTACCGACTCCTGCCCAGACCGTGTAATCATCCCAGACCCTACACCTAAGGTTTGTCTTTAGTTTATAAAATTAAGTGTCAAATCTTCAGTTATATTAATGTTTTGTTTTGAAGTACTTCAGTATTTTGAGTATTTAACCTGTCTATAGCAAAATTGGTTTTGCTGTTGTAAGATGCACTGCAGAAAGTTGTCATTTTCTTCTTTTTCGTGTTTCTTAATTGCATAATTGGTCACATTCACCCTTTTCCTTTGTGCATTGATGAATCCAGAGGGTGAATTCTGTCTTCTACGACATTTTGCCGAAACTGATGCCCATCCTGCAAAAGGATAATGTCCAAGATTTTCTCCGCTTCTTCCATAGGAATATGGATGTCATGGGTCGGGACTTAGTCACCCCAGAAACCTTTTTTTACATAATCATGGTGAATTCTGTGCGATGTGCCAAAGTTGTCTTGGAGGGCCAAGCACCTGAGCTGGAGGGGCTCCGTGCCTATCCCAACTGTGTTACCTAATATGGGTTCTTCCCTCTTACCAAGCTGCTGAGATATTTTCTGTTGACATGATCAAGTTGCTCATTCGGCATGGCGCACTTGTAAATTTACGCACAATTGGTGGTAAAGTAATTGAAGGACTACTCCCACTCCATGTTGCAGTTGAGAACACTTGAATGCATAAGTATCTTGATGACAATCTATTTCCTGACGAGTTGAATCCAGACTACAGTAAGGCAGATACCAATGATATCTACAAGCTTATCCATCTTCTGTGCCTACCAGAAATGGTATGTCTCAGGTCCCTCCCTGCATAAATTATATTACTTTTGCAGTGTAACAAGTAGAGAACAGTTGGGCTCTAATATAGCAATACTTCAGACGTGGTATTCATTCACTTCATTGTCACTTTCTGTACCCCCATTCCAAAATGTAAGGTGTTTTAGTTTTTTTCCTAAGTCAAATTTCTCTAACTTTGACCAAATTTATAGAAAAATATATTAACATCGACAATACCAAATAAATGCACTACCAAGACATTTGATGGAACTAATTTGATGCTGTAGATGTCGGTGGTCAAAGTTAGGGAAGATTATTTAGGACAAAACTAGAATATCTTACATTTTGGAATGGGAGAATTTGTATGTGCCCATCTATCGGTACATGTTCTGATATGACAGTACTTGGTGAACCAGTATCTATACATATTCACTTTATCATAGACATGATAATTTCCAAATGTGACTTTGTGTATTCGCCCATTTGTTGGTACATCCTTTTAGTTTTTCACAATTTTAACAAGAAAAAAAACTAGTTAGCAACTCTGTGTGTCAATTTTCTTTTGCTAGTTGTCAGCTTTCCATGGTACTGACCTTTAAGAAGGAATGTGTCATGGGCAGGAGCTACTGCACACATGCACTATTCATCTGAGTCATTATAGTGCTTTCTGCATATTAGTTTCCACTAGTACAATATTAGGGATACAATTAAGTTAGACTATACATCTGACCTTTAGGCTTTTTGAGTGGTTATCTGTTGATCTGGTCTGCTAGGTGCTCCTTATAAATAAGGAGACATTGTCACCCTTTCCTGTTCAGCATTAAAAAATCAATATAGTTTACAATTTATTACATCTCTTATGTACAGTTAATTCTCTCATAATTCTGATGTTTATTTCGTGAAGAGACCATTTCAGAATGTCATAAAGTTGGAAGATAATCAACACTACGTGCTTGCATACAAATGATAAAAGCACTCATTGTTTTTTCTCATTTGTTGGTGGTTTTTGCAGAAGATCTTCATGGATACGACTAGGCTGCTTGCAAAGCACACAAATGATCTGGTTGGTGAGATTTGCAATTACATAAAACATGGGAAACTTCTGCAGACTGCAGTTTTGCTCCTGGCAGCTCAAGAGCATATCCGGGGTAGCAAAAGAAATGGTAATAGTAAGGAAGATGGATTTGGTGATATTATTAAATATATCTCCGAGCACACCAGTTCCATTAAACTGGATGTTGGTATAAAGAATTAGGCACAGCTGAAGGAAAAATATATTTCATCAACATTATGGCTTGTTCAAGCAATTTCCAGGGCTGGTAAAGCTCTTGGTCAATGCATTCAAAGGCATTCAAAGGTACCAGACCTGGTAGATTGCATCTATGTTCCTTGTGCCTTTTCTAATGACATTTATTCTTCTTTTTTTAATATATATTTCCCCCTTTTTTCTACAAATTAACAGTCCCCTCAGGTGCCCCACAAGGAGGTCCTTGAACACGTGTCATCGATTCTCAAGTTTTATAATTTTTGTCCTACTGGAGAAGGCATCAGCATTGAAAGCCTAAACCTGTACATTCTTGCATTCCTTTATATTTTTTCTGATTATAGTTTGTATGCCATAATGCCTTACATGATTGACATGATGTTTAATTATTTCTTCTGCTTGTTTTTGAAGCTCCCGCTACGACTGCCCCTTGCCCAGTGGACTCATACTTGACGAATTTGGTGTGTGTGTATTTGTTTTAGCCCAAAACCATCCTATCGTGATTTCTGCAAATAGTCCCATCTAATTTTTTTTTTGTGGTAAACAGGGACTACTGTAGCTACTCATCTGCATGCTGGAAAGGAAAAGGTAAAGATGTTTCTTACTTCACTGCATGATGTTTCTTTGTTGTGAAGGTATTTTTGGTGTCCCATTTTTGTTTTACTTGCTGCTGTTTTTACTTTGGGTTAGGGCACTGAATCCACTGACTTTGTGCCAAGTGGCCTTGATTCTTGAGTGTTTCTGCTTTTTAAAGACGTTCCTTGCATGTTTGTTTCCCCAAGCAGGGTACTACCCTAAGATTAATGCTGCGAATTAACTTCGAAGTTACTTGGCAGCTAGAATTTTTTTTTCTGATTGTCTTATCTTAAGATTTATTTTATTCTCATTGAGAGTTGAGATCACATGCTATAATTTCTCTGTTTCAAAAGGCAGTGCTAGGTGGCGCCTAGGCACTAGGTGGAGCAGCATGGCCTCCGTGCCTCCCCTAGCACCGAGTTGTTGTCTTGGCATTTTCCCACCTAAAACAGTTTAATGCTTGATCTATCTATGAAAATGGATCAAATTGGAGATAAAGGAAGATGAACTATCCCCATAGAACGGATGCATTATAATGTTACACTATCAGTTTTAATATGCCAAAATTCTACTATTTAACATGATGTTACACTAGCTGTGAAGAAAAAGCTTAACCGACTGGCATGCTTAGGCAACGCCTAGGAGCTAGGAGCCTGACCGCCCTCCTAGCGCCTAGCGCTTTTTGAAACATCAGATGATATGGGTTCTACAAACACTATTATTTGGTTCTTTGTGCCCGAGTTATGGGTAAAATGATACATAATTTGGCAAACACGGTTTTGGGAGCTGAATTGGTCTGAAATGGAACAAAAGAAATTCTGTATGATGAGCAGTTTTAGTGCAAGAACTCCAGAAAATTACATCAGTACTAGGATAATAATAAGCATGTCGTAAAGAAAATAAAGATCTACACTGCATCAAATATAAGTACAAACCCGTGTGTAATCCAAGTACTCGAGTTTCAGTAGACAGTTAAATCTAACTTCTCTACAAACCCCAGAAGTATGTTCAATTTTTCAGTGGAACATGAGAATTATTCTGAAAAGTCTACAGGAAATGAATAATTTCTGATTTGAAAGTTAAACATGCTAATATGCTATGAGTGCCTTTCAATTCAAATCCTCAGAGGGAGCCTTGGAAATCATATGATCCATTTGCTTTTGTGTAGTATTCCAACTACATATAGAAATGACAACACATAACATAAAGAGTGCGGACTAGGTATTTTTTTACAGAAATGCTACAGGACAGTATCCCGTTCGGACGGGATGATACCCGGTAGGTATCAGGTGATACTTGTGAAGTATCACGTGATACTTGATACCTAACTGATATTGTACCGTCTGAACGGGATACCGTTATATAGCAACCCCTTTTTTAAGAAAGTGCAAATAATCGCATTGGACAGCTCTTAATCCATTTTTTGGGGGTTATATGTGAGAATCAACAAGTGCACCCTCTGGCCAGTTCTGGACTGTTATTTTCCGCCTAACATAAACTGTCCCCTTAATATTACTGATTAATCTATGTGAAATATATGGCCTGTGAGAAAGATACTGTTCTGTCGAAGGCCCCAGGACCCTATATTTAATTGTTGGGGAATAGGTTCATTGGTTATTGTTTAATAAGGCTATAAATGGTTGATTATTGTTCATATTTCCTTATAGTTACTTCCCTTATGCTTGGACAGATTTAACACAAAGGCAATCTTTAGTGCAAAGCAAAAGAATGATTTACTTGCTATGTTTTCTGCCACGTAGTTTACTTTTTTAGCGTCTTACCATGTTGCTTAAGCATTGTTATGGGAAGTACTGCAATTTAGAAAATACTATCCAAATCATGAAAACAAATTGTAAGCTGGCTAGCTAACGTCTAATTATAATCTTTAATGCAAATAATATGTAGCACCTCAAATGAGTGCTGCTGTTTGGTCATGCTGAAACAGAGGTGTGATTTCGACATTAACCTTTGTTAACCTCTATGAGGCAGGCTTTGGTAAAGAGACTGGATCTCCAATACAAAAGGAGAAGTTTCTTCCCATATTGGCGATCAGCTTTAAGTTTCGGGTTTCCTGTGACGATCTATCCATCATACTCATATGATGATAAGCATCATCGTGATCTGGAACCATTCATCTATAAACGTGAATCGAGGGACAAAGGATCATCTCCAGCTCCAAACCATAACACTGGCCTTTTGGCAAGCTTGCGGCAACCCACAACCAATTATCAATTGACAAGGCAATTTGGTACTGCTGCATTAATAACCAATCATCAAACAAAGAGGCTATTTGGCACGGCTGCATTGACGCTCTTGAAAGTCTTGAAGAAAGCATGAATGAAAAGGTATGCCATGAGTTCTGTTTTCTATCTGCATATAACATAACTTTCGTGGTGTATATAACTGAAAAGGTATGGTGTTGGGGGACGGGAAGAGCATCTTCTTCTGGTCTTCTGGACAGACGACTGGACCGGATGCCAATTCTATGCTTCCGGATGGGGGTTCCATCCTGAACCGGATGCCAATTATATGCTCTTACGTCAAAAACATGGAAAGGACAGTTCACTCCAAGTTTATTTTATTTTTAAATTAAGATAGAAAATATGTAAATTTATAGCTGTTAAGCCAAATATTTTTATTGAGAAAAATATTATATATTTTACTTTAAGCAGTCAAATTTGTTTCTAAGCCATCCGGATGTATTGGATCTGATATTATTAAATACAAACTCTAGATGTTTCTGTATCGTTTATTTAATAGCCGCTGCAATGCGAAGTAAATGAACCTGTAATAGAAGGGTAAATGAAGCTCACGGATAGAACCCTCCTATATGTCAAATATTCTTATTAACTGTTGAGGAGGAAACATCATGTGTGTTTTTCATAGTATGCCAAGCACAATTTTGCAGTGTTTTTCTTTCAAAATGTAGCTATCGTAGTCTTAGTGAATAGAAGATAGTTGTTGTACATATGGGATCTTACGAGGGTGAAATATTCTTTAAAAATTGGAAGGCATGTTGACATTTACAATCATCACATTTCAAACTCATTTGACATCAGTGTAAGTTTGAGTTGATGTTATTTTATTTCCCGTTGCACGCACGGGCACCCAAGTTGATGTTATTTTATTTCCCGTTGCACGCACGGGCACCCAATTAGTAACTAAAAAGGTGTGGTGTTGGGGGACGGGAAGAGCATCTTCTTGTGGAGAGACGACTTGCTTCCGGATGGAGGTTCCATCCTGAACTGTGAACTGGACGCCAAAAACAAGGGAAGGACAGTTTACACAGTGCTGCACGAGGATGCTAGACCGGCGACATCTCCAAGTCTGGGACTTGATCACCACCGTCACCCTGAACCCTACTCAACCGAATGCATACTATTGGAAGCCTGCTGCGGATGGAGTTTTCTCGGTGAAAACGGCCTATTCCCTCCTCTGTGCCGCGAAGATGCGGTCAGTGGTCGGAAGGCTTGTTTGACGGCGGACAACCTCCAGTGGTGGGGTTGGCATCTGGCCTCGTTCTGCCACCTCTGTGGGAACGATGCGGAATCTTGCGCCCACATCTTCCACGCCTGCGATTACACGAAGTAGGTATGGGCGTAGGTTAGAAGTCGCTTGGGCATTGCCTGTGACACATCCTCTGGTGACATACTGAGCTGGTGGTGCGAGGCACGTAAATCGGTTCACAAGACGGATCGAAAGCCATTTGATGCGGGAGTTATCCTGGTGACGTGGTTAGTTTGGAAGGAACGGAATGCACAGGTGTTCGATGGAAAGGCCACTTCAGCGGTGCATCTTTGTGCTACCATCGCTGACAAGTGGGAAACATGGAAAGCCACTGGTTTGCTGTGCGCGATCTATTACGGTTAGATAGCCGAGAGTCCCTCATGTGCCTCTAGTGTGTTCTTAGGGTGTTCCGCTACGGCGGTTAGTTGTAGCCTCAGCCATTCTCGGCTCAGGGTGTTCTGTAAAGATTCTCTTCTTCCTAATATACATCTCGGCCGGTTCTTTGCCGGCCCGGTGAAAAAAAGGTATGGTATCACCTTGAACTTATCAAGATAGTTTAAGCATAGTTGAATTTTAAAGTTAGGAATTCTATTGTTGCGTCCTTTTCCCCTCTTGTCAAACTGAACATGTGGATGACCGTAACCTCATTTTATGTTTTTGCCCTCCCATTTGCGCAGGTTCCAAGCAAGTTGTGCTATCACTGTTTTCTGCAAGTTCTTTTTTTGGTGCATGATTGTCGAGATCCAACCTGGTCTGCTGGGTTTGTGCTTTTTTTTTTTTGGTGTGCCTGATACCGCAACTTCGCATGGGACTAAACATCGGCCTTAGCATGCATGTTAAGCTCATGACCCCCTCGCGCGGAGCTTGGGCAGGAGCCGGCGGTAGTGGCGGAGGTAGGGAGGTGAGCAGGAGACGTACTAGGAAGACCGGCGAACGACGGCAACGAGGACTTCAGCCTCACCCATCTCGGTCTCGCTAAAACCGAAGATCATTGAGTATCGATGCAATTTGATTAGTCCAGCGATGTTGGTTTAGGATGTCCGGCAATGTACATTGGTTTTATAATGCTAAAAAAGATTTTTATAATTTAGTAATCTTGAAATTCGTAGTTAATAAATATTGAGTTTTAGGGTCCGTTTATTTGTACGAAAAACATAAGAATTTCGGAGGATTTTAATCATATAAAAAACATTCCTATGAAATCTTACGAAACAAACAATTTAATTCTATCATATCCTTATTATAATTCTATGGAATGGATAATCCTATAGAAATTTCGGAGAATAGTTAGTGAGAGGTCTAAACTCTTGGAAAAATTCCCTTGAATCTCTATCATCCGATTCATATGTTTTTCAATACTTTATTTTACACATATCCCTAACAGAATCCTAATGTTTTTTCTATTCCTACATTTTCTCATTTCTGCTATTTTATGTTTTACACATATATCTATCAAAATCTTGTGTTTAACATGTTCCTCTATTTTTTTCATTCCTGCTATTTAAAGGGACCCTTACTTGGTTTGGAGTCTTAGTTGTGGTTTTACCATGTTTTAATAAGTTTGAAATTCTAAATTAATAAAATTTGACTCTATTCAGTTTAGAGTCTCAATTATAATTTTGACATGATTTACTGAATCTAAAATTTTGTAATAATTAATAATATCAAGTTGTACTCGGTTGGAGTCTCGATTATAGACCTTTTATGATTTCATAATTTTGAACTTAATAATTAACTAGATCTGGGATTGGGAGGAGACGGAGGGGATTGGGAAGAGGAGACGCAGCGGCGGCGACAATGGGGAGGAGGCACGGAACGACACGTGCTGTCTCCGCCTCTCTCCGGATGGAATTGGAAGGAAAGGTGATTTTTCCTCCAGTAGGACAAGGATAGGGACATGGAAGGGCCTTTTTTTTAAAAAAAAAACTTCTTGAAGGATCAAGGAGATGTTTTGTCAATTGACGGATCGGATGGCTAGTAACTACCGAATGAAGAATCAGACGGTCCATGTGTTCCTGATGACATGGCTCATTGTTTTTTTTTCACTATTTTAGATATTTATGAACTTGTCATAAGCTTATAACCCATAATGGATGGGCTTGAAATGTAGCCCATGATGTTAAAAGTAAATCTATTATCATCGCACTATGGCATTTAATCAACAAGTTAGATTTTTTTTTAACTTGAAGACTTCTAGAAAATGCTTTAATTAGAATAGAGATATAGCAGAAAGTTAGACAGAGATATCTACATCAGTGAAAAGGGGATCCCAAGATCCCACCAGGATGAGCCACATCATCAAATAAATATGAACCGTTGGATGCATGATTTGAATGAAGAGAACCGTTGGATCAAAAGAGAGAAAAATAAGTTAAAAAAAAAACCAAATAGTGTCTTGGGATGTTCTAGTCCCTTCAAGCACATTCCATAAAATGTGTGATAACAAATATATGAGAATGAAAAATATCTTCAAAATTATCCTTAATAATCACCAATGAGTATTCAAAGTAATTCTACTGTATCAATAATAAAAGTATCCGTGTAAATATAAATAGCTACATAATCTAATACTATCGATTACTTCACTACAGATTAAAATTAAAAAAACATGTGACATGGACGATATAATAAATTTTGTAAAGTTGACTTAAATCATATGATTATAAGATTTACGATAAAATAGCGTATAAATACTTCTCAACTGGTGATGACAGAATTGCAACGCATAAGAAATGTGACTATTTACATTACTATTACAATTGACGCATTTAGATATTGTAAAAGGCAATGGTCGCGGTAATATATGATAAATTATTTGTTTACGATGATATTCTTAATGACAAATCAAGATATATAAATCCATTAATGTTATAGTTACACTTTTGAAATAATATGTTAAAAGCATATTCATTATTAATTATAATTAAGAATTTATGTCCACTAACATAAACAATATATAAATATATTTAATAGATGGAGAGGTCATAGTCGTCGTGTGAACCCACGACTTAAGATGCTAGTATAGATAGATAGTTCATGAATAACTCAACCAAAAGTAGGTCCTGCATCGCCGTTCCGGTAGAGAAGAGAAGACAGGCAAATTAGATATTTTGGGCCTGGACGTTTGTCAGCATAGCCAGATAGTTTTTAAAGGAATTTATTGACTAAGTGAGTGTATCTCAACTGTTTACTGTTTAGATTCTGGTGTAAAACCAATTTATCCGGATTCAAGTTTTAAACTTGACACAAGTACTTGCTTTTACGGTTAATTATTTTTTCAGTGGGAAACAATAGGCGCCCGTGGTGACGACCGTAATGACCGTGGTGACTTCATTATTTCAAGATATGGATGTTCGTAAAGATAGGGTGTAGCCAAGTCTTTTAGAGGTGTTCGTAAAGATAGAGAGTGTGTTTGTGCGTTTATAGGGGTGAATGTGCACACGTTGTTTTTATTGTGTTGAAAATTAAAAAAAGAATAGCCCATCTTTTCGCTTATACTTATGCTTATCAATCAAAATTTGAATTTTCAACTTTAAAATTGGAGTTGATTTTAAGGTTTTTTTTTATCAAAGTTTATTTTCAGCTTTTACTTTTAGATTGCTAAGAACACAAATATAAAAGGTTTATTTACAAATTATTATTTGTTTGTGAATATGTTGTTTGTCTTATACAATTAGCCAAACGATGGGGTCGTATTGGACTGACTGAGCTAACATTGGCGTGCATTATTTCAGGTACTTGTAAATTAAGTTGACCAGTGAAGACAATCCACTCTTATTTGTACAACGTGTATCTGACATTGAACCCGAGCGTAGATGCCATCCATGATCTCGGTCAAACTTCAGCTATTCGGCTACAGTCGTTTAGTTTCTGAAATTAGGGAGAAGTTTAGAGAAAGTTGGTAGTTTGAAAAAAAAAATTGAAAGTTTATATGAGTAAGAATGTTTTAGATGTAATGTGATGTGATAAAAAGTTGAGAGTTTGAGAAAAATTTAGTGGAGAGTATTAAGGGATGGTCGGTTGCAGGCTGCTAGTCAGGAGGGAAAAAGACTGAAGTACGTTTCGTAACAAGTTTATTTTTAGCATATTTATTATTATAAAATAAATTTATTTTTAAGTATTTGTTGTATCAGAGTTTACCAAAGTATGATATAATTCAATTGTATTAAGAGTAGATAAGGTGTAAAACTATTGTATTGAGATTTGATAAAATAAAGATATTGTATTGATATGCGTGGGTTGGATGAACAGTTAAAACGATGGTAGCAAATGAGAGCCAAGCTGGAATACATGTTCGCAAATGCTTTTACAATCCCAGCATTGATGTGCCA